TACCAGAGGGTTGGTGGTTGTTGCAGCAACAAAACGCCAGATGTTCATGTTCTGTGTTTGTGATGTTGAAGGAGGTTTTCAGAGTTTCCACCTTGATACATAAACTTCTACTTCCTGCGTGGCGGCGTTGGACGTAAATCACGAGCGCCGGCATCGTCCCGTATGAAGATATCTCCTCAGTCTGCTGAGCCGTGTGATATGAATTGCTGTCTCACACACACACAGTGTCCATACACCTTACAGGAACATGACAGGGCGCTTTTTATCTCTCTGCCAACAGAAGTTTCATGTCACATTTTATCTCGTCCCATCTCTGCTGTCGCTCGCCGTCGCGTCTCTTCTGAAAAAACATGGCAGGAGTGTGACGAATCACCTTTTAAATTTCCTCCCTGTCAGGGTTACAGCTCTCTCAGAGAGACGGAGGGAGGACGGAGGGAGGACGGCGGGAGGACGGCAGGAGGCTGCAGGCGCTTGTCACAAAGCAAACGGCGCCGTGAATTACGACCGGACGGTTTGTCTCTATGAGTGAAGGATTATCTTCATACGATGACACACTCGTAAACAGTGTCGAGAAGCTGCAATCGATCTCACAGATGCAGCCCCCCCCCCCTCAAATGAGGATACCGGGTGAGCGGAGGATTTACGCAGCTAATAATAGAGTAAACTAGATATATTTCCAGAGAAGGAATTCTGCACAGGGCCTATTTATAATTACAGAACCCTGTGATGTATCCCACAGGGTTTAACGCCAAACCAGTCTGAGGCTACCGGCACACACACACACACACACACACACACACACATATATAAAGATAGTGCCATCTTCACACTCTCCTTCAGACCGATGACAGATGTGGGAACACGAGGCAGCTGCAAATAAAAACACAGGGGACTATTTTGGTGAACTGCACCTTCTTATTTTTATTCACTCTCACTGTTGGTGCAAAGTTCTCATTGCAGCAACATGATATTTCTTTTCCTGATGGAGGTGTGGAGTTGTCAGCGAGGCGAGCGCACGCTTCATCGCAGCACAGGAATAACCGGGTTATAACGGCGTCTGGTCATTGCTGCTGCTTCTGGGACGATTGTAGAGATGTCGTGATGTTCAGTTTGAATCAAGTGAAATGTGAATGTATGTAAATTACCAGGTTAGACTCCACCCACACAATGCACTGATGTCACCTGATGCAGCTACAAATCTAATTTAACAGAATAAAGTAAGAAAGAAAACAAATTCAAGCAGTAGCTTCAACAACATGGCCGCCACTCTCCGCCTGTAGAAGTAGAAGCCCTGATCTCAGAGTGGTGACAAAGAGTAAAACACCTGCTGGTATTAATAAGTTTAGTCACTTCCTGATTAATAGGAATACAGCCGACTACTGGGACAAAAATAAGCTACTGACGGCTACCGGGAGAAAAAACCTATTTGTCATTATTCTACAGCCAATCAGTGTTAACTGAAAACAACTTGTCTATTTCACCTTGATACCATCTGGTACCTGAACAACAAGCACCATGCAACTGAGCCAGACGGCTACTGGAGCGCAACCACAGCGAGATCCAGTGGTGACAGTTTGTCAGGATCTCTGTTCACACTGAAACACCTGAATCACTTCCTGTTTGTCCTGGTTCAGTTAACAAACAAGAAAAGTGTGTGAGGGACAGTTGACATCTGCTCTGCTGAGCCTCAGCTGGTTAAAGCTCCGTGTTTCTATATGAAAAAAACAACATTTAATCTACTAATGGGTTTTACCAGCAGCAGCAGCAGCAGCAGTTTCTCCAGCAGCTGTAAACAGACTCTGATGGTGCAGTTGGTGTGAGTGTCGAAGCAGATACACAAGACATAAACTTTATTAGCAGAAAAGTTTCTGTATTATGTTGATTAAAAACTTTATTCCGAAGGTTTTCCTCTCTAAACATTTAAATCTGCTGGTATCTAAGCGTCACTGAGTTACTGAGAAGTCGATCGCGACGTGAGGAAACAAAAACGCATCACGCAGAAACCGTAACGATAACGTCCCTCCTGTCTCAGAGTGTAAACTTCCACAAGGTCGCCACGACGCTCCTGTTCATAAAGCCTTCCACCGCGTTTGAGCTGCAGGCTGCGTTCAACGCGACACGCGCCGTCCTTCCTGCTGCAGTGCACCTGAGCAACATCCTCAGGTTTACATGTTGGAGCGCAGTCACTTTGCAGGTCTCCATTTTAAAACGGTTTCTGCCTTTTAGCGTCTATTTCAGTCACAAGGTCAGATTCAAAAATAGCTCGCAGCTATGAATTCTGTCTGAGAGGAAGGGGAGGGTCGGACGTCTCCGCTCTGACGTGAAAGGTCGAAGCCGAACACAGTTATTTTTCATTTTCTTCGTCTTTACCTTTTCATTATACCGTGTGTGTTTTCATTCACTCCGCGCTGACCTTGATTCTTCCTGACGGGTCATTCTACTGTTGTCTTCTCATCTGTTGTTGTTGTCGGCCTTTTCAATGGGTTATTAATGGATCAGCAATAAACAAATAAACGTAGTAAAGTGATAACAATTCTGAAATGAGATGATGAAATGTTCTTGCTCCTGAACATGTTTTTATACTGTTTATATGATCATTTATTCTACATTAAAACGACATGAACTAGGTGTGTGTTTGCTGCTGAACGTTTCCATTTGAAAGTGTCTGAATGAGTAAAAGACGTTGAGGTTCGGCAGCTCAAATGAAAGATCCAGCGTCGATTACAGAGGCAGAGTCAGTGGAAGCTGAAATCTTCAAGTTGTAAAGGAGAAAAGGGGGTCAGCCCTGTGTTCCCACATTTCTAAGAATGTTTTGAAAATTAGCCCCTATTTTCCCACAGGCTTATATGTTCCCATAAGCCCGTGTCCACACTAACCCGTGTAATATTTATCCGGTTAGCCCTTCCGTCCACATTAGAACGGTGAATTCCGAAACTGAAAACGATGCTTTACAAAAACGATGAAAACGATTAGTGTGGATGGAGATCGTTTTCATTGTGAATGTGCATTTTTATATTTACCCGCGTTAATGTGGACAAGGCCTAAGATTTTTCTCAAAAGGAAACCCTATGGTCCCATATTTCTTAACATAGGGCTGTGGGAACAAAGACACGCTCCCGAGGAAATGGATCCAGAAATGTCAGCTGACGTTGAAAAGCCTGAACATAAACATCAGCTGACAGAGGATGAAGGTCTGACAGGAGGAAACTGTGTCTGAACAAATATGAGCAGCTACAGAAATGAGGAGTTTCAGTCATGTTGGCAGATTAGCAAGTACCTGCATTACTGCTAATTCCAAATGCTAGCATGCTAACACACTAAGCTAACATTACAGCTGTGTGGCGAATTCAGGAGCTGCGTCCTTCGGAGGCTGATTGTGTCACAGCGGTGCGATTTCGAAGAGACTTAAAACCCCAAGCTTTGGTGAAAAAATGTTTTTAAGGTTGCTAGGCGACAGGAGCTTCGTTTAAGTTGCAACACGTTAGTAAGAGGCAGGAACAGCTGAAACAGAAAAGCTCCATAGACCGGACCGTGTCATTTCGGTTTGACCTTCACGGTCTTCGACAGATACGAAGGGCCACACCTCACAACAAGCTTATGATGGTTTAAGATTAGCATGTTAGCATGCTGTCGTTAGCATTCAGCTCAAATCACCACTCACAACCTCATGGTGTCTTTTTTGTTGTTGTTTATTTAAAATCTTTGTAAAAAAATAAAAATGTAACATCGTTACTACAATAATAAATCATTACAGCTGTCGTGTTCACTCTCTGGCTTCTGATTGGTCGACAGTGAGCTCATGCAGCCTGTGATGTCACTTACCGTCAGGTGCCATCACTGTCAGAGCATGTACGGTACGTTGCTCTGGCGATGTGTAATATGCCATTTGACCACATTTACTAACAGGACAAGCAGCTCCTGACATCACATCACCCGCCACCGGCCATCAGTCACACAGTCAGGCATCTCGCCGACCTTTGACCTCGATCTGTGACTGGCTGCAGCGCACCCCGAGGATGTTTGGAAGTGTGACTATTTATTCCTCCAGCGCCATGAACCTGTCTCCTCACAGTGATATCATTGCATTTCTGTGGCCACATGCCCGCCATGAGGAGACGCTGCCAAAGATTGTCTATGACTGAAATGATGAATCACTCTGAGGTTAATAGAAAAGAAAATCTGATTTGTGTGTCATCTTCACAAAATAGGCTGTTTTTCTTTTATCACATAAATAATTAAATTAATATTAACTTGTCATAAAACTTTTTTTATTGTTTTTTTGTGGAAGTTTTGTTTCTTTATTCAGTGTTTATTAGAAATTAAAACAGGAAGTGTTTCTAAAGTCTAAAATTCTTAAAAGCTTTGGTAACTAGTCCTGACAGGTTCAAGGTTTAAGCAGTATATACAAAATACAAAAAGTATATACAAAAATATATAGAAAAAACATTTAAAAAACATTTCTGTATTTTTCTAAATATTTCATTTAACTCCATTAAATTCTCAGTTTTCCAGCCTGAGTCTCCAGGATCTGTAGATTCACCCTGTCAGAGTGGAAGTAGTGACTCCTCTTACCTCACGTCAATCTTTGTGCGGTGACACAGAGATCCCAGCAGCCCAAACTGGGCAGCACTGGGAGGTGGGAGAGGCTGGGTGTGGAGATGATGGAGGGAGATGGGGGGGGGGTGATGTTAGCACTGAGCTTGCCAAATGAGCACATGAAGACAGTAATGTGATCTGGGATGAGTGACAGTCATATCGGAAACAAGACCATACAATACGATGTAAGCTCCCGCCCCGCTCCCCGCCTCCCGGCGGCCCAACTTCATCCACCCCCCCCCCCCCCTTACAGGACGGTGAGAGGCCGCTTGCATATTAAGAAGGTACCGACGAAGCGCAGCTGCCGGCTGCAGGCAGAAGAGACGGACAGAGACACACTGACCATCACAGACGGACACCAGTGGACTAAACTCTACCTCCAGCTTCTGTTGAACCGCTTCACCTCCGAGAGAAGAAGAATGGGACTGCACAGTGTCGAGGAGCTGGTAAGATCTGCTGATGTGCGGAAATGCAAATGGTAGCAATTATGAGAGGGAGAGGAGGAGGCGAGAAGGAGCTGCAGGAGTTATACTTCATCTTAAAATATGGAGCAGAGAAATTCACCTGAGAAACATGTGAATGGAAATTTTCTTCCCCAGAAGCTGGTGAATTAATTTTCTTGGGACGAAATCAAACAGAAAAATTTATTAAATATAATTTTTCTCTTATTTAAATTATAAAGTGACTGTTTAACATACAGTGGAGCAAGAATGAGCTCGTCATGTCACACAGGGCGCCGTGTTTCCTACCGAAGCCCAGAACGGACAAACCACACACTTTCGTATGTTTACGTTACCTAAAGGCCACATAGAGTCTAACACACACTTATTCAGCTAGTTGCAATCTGCAGCCTCACCACTAGATGGCACTAAATCCTTCACACTGCTCCTTTAATTCAATTGTTTTGCCTTTTATTGTACATGTAAAGCGTGTGTCAGCTGCCGTGACACTCTTCATTTGACTTATTTAAGATCTTAATGAAACATCATGTAAGATAAATATATAAGTTGCACATAGATACATCTCCATGTCTGGAGAAAAGGTGGGAAAAAGAGAAAAAGCTCAAATTTCTCCACTGAAATGAAACATTCACACCTGAAAAAAGGAAAACCAGATAACCAGGAAACAAACAAACCTTCAAAACAACTTGAAATTACCCCAATTATCTCTTAATCGATGCACACAACTTAATCCGAACCATTTAAATCACCTCATTTCGGCGCTTCATTATCCTTTTCTTTGAGAGCTTAAGAGACGGGCCGCCTCATTACAATTTAAGCCAAGCTAAAGTTAATTAAACGTCTTAAGGTAATTAAATAAAATACTGATTGCTATGGATCAAATGAGTAGTTTCAGTGATCACTCTTGTTACTGCACCTTTCATTATTTCTCATTTGATCTCGTCCCTCATGATTAAAGGTTCGCTCGAGTGATTCACGACAAGCTGCTTCCATCATGAGTGCTTCAGTAATTGGACATATAAACAGAAGTGTGTGTTAGTGTGGTGTGTTTACATTCCTCCGTAAACAGCAGCGCTCGGTTCTGAAACTGAGAGCAGCTTGTGTGTTAAACTCTGAACCGACACAAACTCTTCATTGAGTTTTTCCCGCTCTAAAGAAACTTCAGCGGCGTCCATTTTTATCACAGTTTAAATCTGTAATGAATCTCTCAGAGCGTTCAACCTCGTCTCTCCTCCAGGTGACCGGTAAGAGGTCAGAGGGCAAAGAGTCGGATGACTTCAAAGGGGGCGTGTACGAGGCGGCTGTCAATCAGGAGAAACGCGATGACCGCAGGTCCCGCGGAGACCTGGGAGTGGGCGGAGCTCTGCCAGAGGAGAGCGACAGCGGCAGCGAGCAGGAGGAAGTCAGCGTGGCCGCTCTCAATGTAAGAACTCATGATGATGATGATGATGATGATGAATCTTTACTCGTATGTGACTTTTCAAAATAAATGTCACAAAGTGCTTCAGATTAAATAAAAGTAGAAACAGTGAGAATCTCTATTTATCTATCTATCTATCTATCTATCTATCTATCTATTTATCTATCTATAATCTATCTATAATCTATCTATCTATCTATCTATCTATATATCTTTATCTATAATCTATCTATCCCACGATTTACCAGTAACAACAAGTAAAAGACAAGATCAGTAAAAGTTCAGATAAATGTAATGAAGGTATTTAAAGTGAAGGTACTCCACATGCAGAATGATCCTGTCAGTGTATATACAGTATATATATATATATATATATACTGTATATATATCATCATGTTATTGGATCAATATTATTGATTCATTAGCATGTGAAAAATTACTTTGATATTGTAGAAACTGCTTCATGTAGTTAATTTTTTATTTAATCAGTAACGTTGCATCATATTTTATAAACTGATCTGGTATCTGTGGAGTGACCAGTAACTAGCAGCTGGTGAACTTGTAGTTACTGGTTACTGGTGTACGATGGTCATCACAGGTGAATACAGGTGAGACAGTGTGTCGCTGCACTGGGACAAGCTTGACGTTAGTTGCTGCTTATGCAGAGCTTGTGTCTTGGTCCACGCTGCACCCTGGAGGCATTTGGGAGAATAACACCTTTTTATTACCTGGCAGTAATGTAGAATACCCCAAACCTGGGAGCACTTTACAGTCAGACCACCTTTATAAAGGATTTATAAATCATTTATATATAAATCATAAATAAACAATATAAACAACTGGTAAAAGGAGCCTCATACCAACCAGTTATAAAGAAGTAACCTTAGAGGATGAGGCTGAACAGCACAGAGACATGTGGGCTCAGTATTTGGCAGGAAACAGGTCACCGTTGCCCTTTTTATCTAATGTGTTATAACAACTTATAAATCATTTATAAAGCTGATTAATAAACTAGTTATAAACCATCCACAAATCCTTTATAAGGGGAATCTGATTGTAAAGTGATGGTTAGTTGACGTGTTGGAATCTAAACACGTCAAATTAATTTCAGGTTGTTGTTGTTGTTGTTGTTGTTGTTGTTGTTGTTGTGGTGGTGGTGGTGGTCGTGTGTTGAAGCCGTCTGTCTTGCCTCTGCCCCGTCAGACGGATAACAGCGGCCGGCTGAAGCTGGAGACGGTGGACGACCTGTTCAACATCCTGCAGCTGAGGAAGAGGAGGAGAGAGAGGAAGACGCCCGTCCACAAGAGGCAGCAGCAGCCGGAGCCTGTGGTGAGACTCTGGAGTCCAGACACACACATGATTTCCACAGCTGCTTCTCCTCATATCCAACAACACATGAGCTGAGCTGATGGAGCTGAGCTGGAGCAGCAGTACCCAAGATGCACTGCTCCCCTCACCTGCAGTTTATATATGTTTATTTTTATTTTGTCTTCCAGCCAGAAACTGTGGACGAGGAGTCGTTCCTGACAGCGGCCATGGAGAACAAGCTTCCTGTGGTGGAGAAGTACCTGAGTGACGGAGGAAACCCCGACGTAGCCGACCACGTGAGTGTCACACAGCGACGTCTGATTCTGAGGACAGAAACTCGTTATTTAATTCTCATTTTCGCAGATTATTTATGTATTTATTTATTTTAAATGATGGTTGTTGGTCTGTTACCGACGTCTGTAGAATATGAGCCGTAGATCACGGCGTCTACTTTCACCAGAGTTTAGAGGCGGAGTCACGTACGATCTCACAGGAATATGTAAAGGAAAGTGGAGGCGACAGATTCTGACAACAGTTAAATCATATTTCTACTCTGTGTTTTCACAAATGTATTAACAGAAACATCCGTCGACCTCAGAGGGTTAATGGACGACGTTTACATCTGACAAATTATTGTACTGTCATGAAAATATGTTTCTGTTGTTATTGATCAAATAAAAATGACTCGTATTGATCATCTGCAGTTCCAGAGAACAGCTCTGCACAAAGCCTCGTTCAAAGGTCACATGGAGGTCATGAGAAGACTCCTGCAGGCCGGAGCTGCCATCGAGAAAAAAGACAAGGTGAGAGGTTCAAAGACTCCACACGACTCACACACACACACACACACACACACACACACACACACGCATCAGTGTTACAGCTCAGTGTGTGTGTGTGTGTGTGTGTTGCAGCTGGAGGCCACAGCCGTCCACTGGGCCTGCAGAGGAGGCAGCCTGCCGGCCCTGCAGCTCCTGCTGGACCAGGGGGCCAAGTTCACCTCCAGAGACAAGGTTGGTCCACACACTTAGAGGAGGGGTTACTAGAGGTCACGCCTGCTGTCAGAGAAGAAGACGTGAAGCTACACAGAGTTCTTACTCCCTCCTGAGTAACCTACACCTGTGATTTCTACATGATTTCTTCTTCACCTCTTCTTGCATAGAACATAATAAAACAGTATTTCATGTCACAACGTTCAGAACTGAGGCGCCTTTTTGTCGTAGTGCAAACAGATCATTCGGCCCAAATGATAATTTTGAAAATGAACCTTTACTGATGTGGATGAATTGAAAGCAAAGTCTGTAGGTTCATAAAAACAGAGTAACGTGAGTGAAATAGATGAATGGAGAGTAAATGCCTAAAATGCTGAGTGGTATTTGTCGTCTTGTTGCTCTACTTTAACCAGATTTTAGAGGCGGAGTCATGTACAGTCTCACAAGAATATGAAACAGAAAGAGGAGAGTCGACAGATTCTAACAACATTCAAACCATATTTCTACTCTGTGTCATCACTGAGATATTAACAGAATCATCCGTCGACCTCAGAGGGTCAAAGACAAACAATATGTGCTGGTTTTGAAAATTCCTCACTCTGGCGCCATCTAGTGGTGGATTTAAAAAATGTCTTCTGCTTCCTGTCCTCAGCTGCACAGCACTCCTCTCCACGTCGCCGTGAGGACGGGACACTGCGAGTGCGCCGAGCATCTCATTCACTGCGGAGCGGACGTCAACGCCAAAGACAGAGTAAGAACATCACGTCACCTGCAGCGCGACATGAACATAAACTGACACAAACTGCTGCGAAATGTCGCGCTGCAGACGCATTGTATTTACACATAAAAGAATCAACAGTAAACACTCACAGTTTTATTTTAGAGGTAAATCTCTGGACAGTTTGTGCAGACTAAATAAATCTGTTAAGGAATAATTAAGTACCAAGTTGTTGTGGCAGTAAGAGCGACACTGTTTGTCTCATCCTGACTGAGAAACCACATCAATGCTAAATGTCTGTTCCCACCCCTCCCCCTCCCCCTCCCCCTCCCCCACGCTGAAGGACGGAGACACGCCCATGCACGACGCCGTGAGAATAAACAGATTCAAGATGATCAAACTGCTGATGATGTACGGAGCCAGTCTCAACACCAAGAACAGTGTAAGTACAGAGCAACGCCTCCGCACAGTCACCGATCCTCATGGAAATAACCAGAGGGAATATTTGTTGGGTTGTTAAATCTAGAACAACGTGCAGTGGTGGAAAAAGGACTGAGATATTTTACTGAAGTAAAAGTAGCAAATCCACAATGAAAAACGACCCAATTACATGTAAAAATCCTTCATTTTAAATCTCATTTCAACAAAATGTGTTTAAATATCAAAGTAAAAGAACTCATTGTCATTATTAAGTACTGCATTCAGAGCGTTTATTTATCATATAAACTCATATTACTGTAATTGACATTTACACTGAGCAGTTTCTTAGTGTTTACACTTAATGTCGACAAGTTACACTGTTTAATCTAAAACAATGAATATTTAATAAACTGATCAAATGTTTTACGAAATATTAATCTGAAAGGTAAAAAGTCAAATAAATGTGGAGTGAAAACAACAATACTCAACTACAATATTCAATAATATCAAATATATTTTACACCATATGCAATGTTTTTATAATAAAATTGAAAAAAAGGAAATATAATATACAGTATACAGTATGTATACATACAAATATATATAATTTTAAAATGTATTTATTTATTTATTTTATTTCTTATTTAACTGTTTGCTTACTTTACATTGTACCTGTGACGTGACAAATAAAACACAAATTACAATAATATAATTATGAATTATTAAAAAAAACAAATGAAACATATAATACAACAATATAATTATATCATATGTCGTAAAATATAATATTATCATATTCTAAAACTAATATTAAACTATACAATGTTATATAAACCCCTCCCCACACACATACACACCCTGATAATATCATTTATCGCCATATTTGGCCTGAACTGTGTCGAGATATTACATTTAAACCTGGTGGACGTAAATATAGAATATATTAAATATCATAAAATGTTCCTCAATAATTGTACATATGTAGTTTTGTACGTAAAATTTGAATCAGAAAAGCAACAAGTAACTTTAAAGAAAGAAGAAAAGTTTCACGGTCTTTAAAGAGAGTTTCGTATGTGTCTCTTGTGCAGGATGGAAAAACTCCACTGCAGACTCTGTATTCATGGCAGAGCGGAGCGAAGAGCCTCCTGTGCAACTTCAACGAGGAGAAGACCGACCAGTAAGAACCCGGCAGAACCCGGCAGAACCCGGCAGAACCCGGCAGAACCCGGCAGAGGCGCAGGAAGTGGCTGCCGTAGTAGAAAAAGGCAAAGTCTATCATTTCCACACTGAGGTTCACGGAGCGCACAGCTCTTCTCTTCATGTCTGTTCGTCCAGGGAGAATTCACAGAGCAGTTCACACACATTCAACCTTTAAGGCTGAGTCTGTTCCCTGCTGCTGTCGGCAGGCTCACACAGGCTGTTGTTAATAATGTGATTATTACCGCTGATTGATTCATTGATCGCCAAAATATTGCTGGACAATGTCTCGTGAAGATGTTTTTTTTCTTTTTTCTTCTTAATTTTTACTTTAAGCTGAGGTGAAGTCAGCGACGCTGCATCGAGAAGATGACCTATTTATTGATTAATGGCAACTGTCAGCAATGGATTTATCGGGTTTGATTTATTTATTTCAACAGGAAACACTTAATAACTGAGTGACTGATTGTCTAGAGTTATAATGTAGTTCATGACTTGTATAAAGTGACTCCAGCTCAGTGTGAGAAGCTGTCAAAAGGAGGGAGGAGCCTCCTCTGGCTGGTAGATGACGTGTGTTGTTATACTTGAACATTCAGACGAGTTTCACCAAGTTTTTTGGTCTTATGTGTTTGAAGATTGAGAGATGAGACAGGATGAAGGAAGTTTTTGGATCAGGTTGAAAAGAATCTCTCCACTTACAGATTATTCAGCCGTGTTTTTTGTTTCTTTTTGCCGTGGATCTACTTCTCCTCAAACCTGGAGGCTCAGATTCAGCTTCTGTGTTGAGGTTTGGTCGAGACAACCTTCAGACAAAAGTTCATCTTGGTCACATTTCCCCAGTTTCTTCCACCGTAGCTCGGCATGAGCAGCTGGGGTCAAAACAATTTATCCAAGGTCACCTCGGTGATACAGCGAGAGCTTCGACTGGCCCCCCAGCTCTGACCCTGACGTCCCAGCTGCCCGCACCTTTTGTTCTGCAGTGAAGATATTTTGGGAATGTGGACACTTTTCTCTCCAGAGTCGTAGACGAAAACACACACACACACACACACACACACACACACACACACACACACGAGTGTGAGAGGGGAAGAACTGAAAAGTGCCTGTTGGTTCAGAGCATGTTTGAAAAGTGTTTATATGGATTAAAATCCTGATATATGAAAGATAATCTGATTTATTTTTTATTGTTGAAGACGTTTGTACATTTTGACTTGTATTTATGGATTGACTGAATAAAAGATTTTGAACTGAAGCTGTTTCTGGTGCTGATGTAGCTACACGCTCAACACAAACAAACATGGCCACCAACAGAAGCTGTTCTCACTTTAAATGATCACTATGAAGTAGATGATAATTGCGCAATGTAATGGTGCGTCTGCCAAAACAGGAAGAGGGAAAAACGAGCCCATGAGTCGTCTGTGCAGCAGGTTGTTAAGACCCATGGTTACGTTTTGTTGCTAGGCGACATCTAGTGGTCATAGTAATGATGACAGGAGCAAAGGGAAAGACAGACACAGGAGAACAGTGTTCGATTCCCATGTGAAACCAGCTGTTCATATTGTTTCTTTGATCCATGTTGTTGTTATGGTAACCATTCTAAAGTCAACATGCTAACATGCTCACAGTGTTGGGGAAGCTAGCTTTGCACGCTACATCACACTGGAAGAAGTTGAACTAAAGCTTAGCTATGCTAGTTAGCTTAACTGAAGCTATGGAGAAAAAGTAGTTCAAAATATACTTTGGAAAAAAATGATGAAATTGACAATTTAGCGTGTGACACGTGACACAGAATTATAACAAAATGAAAAACAAAAAAGTCACATGCTGGCAAAAAATTCCTCCCAATTTATTGTTCACAGGTCACACCCAAACACCAAGATATCACTGATCATGGGAAAGTGCTGGAATGTCAGCTTTAGTTTTCTATACAATAACACGAGGTTTATCTATGATGATGATGTCGCCGTGTGAGCGCTGATCGACGGCCGCCCTCGGCTTTTAGACATGGCGCTACACAGAGGTCAAGTATGTGGTGGCGGCTGCCTGACGGATGTGTTTCCTGGGCGGCCTTCTCAGCGCTCGGGGCTGATCAAAGGGAGTTCAATTACAATAGAGAAGCAATGGTAAATTAAACATAAAAAATCATTCATTTTCTTTGAAGAAATTGTTTGTAGTTTCAGTCATTAATGACGTTAAAATGAAGGAAAAGTAATTAAACTACTTGAATGAATGTATCTGAACAGCAAACGCTGCAACATGTAGTTAGTAGTGTAATTACATGAAGTCCACGACTCCCAAACACTGCACGCTCACAATGTGTTGATGTTAAGCAGGTGTAATGTTGACCATGTTCACCATCGTAGTTTAGTGTGTGCATTTAGCTCCAATCTCTGCCTGGAGAGAACAAAAGAAGTGTCAAATGAAATAAAAGAGTTAGTGAATTTAGTTACTGAGGTTCAGTAATTCAAGCTGTATCAAGAGAAGATGCCTGCATCTTGTCTTAACCATCACAGCCCTGTACAAACTTGTAAGAACAACACATGCACATACTGGTAACCAGCAGGGCTGGAGAAACCTGCTGCTGGATCCCAGGTCAAAGACGTGTACTGTTGTGACAGAAGATTTATGGCATGTTTTTGTATTCTTGCCAACAAACCAACAAGTGTTCCTTCCCCGTGTGCCAGGATTTTCCTTATAATTTGTTTAAATTAGTTTTAGGGATATAAACAGTTTATTATCACCAACAGAATCAACAGAAATATTGAAGGTGCTGTTCCAAAAGAGAATTTAAACAACAGTCAAATGTTAATGTTAAAATACTCCTTCTCCATCATGGTCTGCATTTACACTCTGCCCCTCCCAGATTAGTTTCACCTGTCCCTCATTATCCCTCCCCCTCTGGTGTATTTAGCCTGTTTTCTTCTCTCAGCGTCAGTTTGTGTCTGTTTCAAGTGTTTCAGCAGTTTTCATAGTGTTTTAGTGTCTTCGTCTTCTCCCTGCTGGACTCTTCTGCCTTTTCCTCTGACTGATTACCTGGGAATCAACCTTTTCTTTAGTAAAAGTAAAAGTCTGTTTGTGAATCGAGGATCTGTGGTTTCTCCTGTCTATTTCATTGTGTTATCATCTTCTTTTTTATTTTCTTTTTCAGATCTCGAAGGTCGTCATTGTCTTTGCTCTGAATTCCTCCTCTGTCTTCGGGCCTCCTCAGATTTGCAGACTAGGACATGTGAGTGGACTCCACATTACTGCTGTGTGGATTTAATGTTATTATTGTTCCAGGTCTATAAGAGTCAGTGAAAAGACCAAGGTCTGTATCTTTGGGTCTGGTCATGTAACATGCTGAAAAAGAGCCATAAACTTTATCATTATCTGTCTTTACTTTGTTGGATCAACAACTAGGACCTCTGATTTGTCCTGATTCACTTTGACTCATCTAGAAAACAGATGAATGTCGTGACTGTAGATACATTTTATTTTGGAGGTTTCCTCATATTCAAGGCAAGTTTATTTACACAGCACCATTCAGTCACAAGGAAATTCAAAGTGCTTCCCAGAGACATGGAAATACATTAAAATACAACATTACGACAACATTGAAATAGCATTTAAAAACAAATTTCAATAAATAAAAATACAAATATTTGAATTATTCATAAAACCAGGACGGAAACTTGGGACTGCAGCGAGAAAAGACATTAAAAATATATATACATATACATATAAAATAAAAGATATATATATATATATGAAGCCTGGAACATTTTCATATATGGACATACTGTATATGTGTAGCCCATACAAATATTATGCGTGTGTGCTTATATAGTAGACATAGATCACTTTCTGGAAAAACAGATATGTTTAATATTTTTGAGAAATTAATTTAAAAAAACATGTATAAGCATATAAAATGTTAATGTATGTTGTTTTAATAAATTGCATATATAAATTAAATATATATTGTTAACATATATGATCACATGTTATACATATAAGAATCCATCATATAGATATTTAAATAATATGCACATATACAAATTTTACTATGGATATTTCATATATGTTATAAACTACTATCTTCATATATCCAGAGTATGTATATATGTGATAATAATATAGATGACGTATGTGGTAACATCTCTCTTGATGTAGACACTGTAACAGACAGTGACCTGATATTAATCTGTCAAATCTTATTTATTTTTATTATAAATCTGTTTGACCCTGGTCATTGTTTGAAATCATTTGAAAATAAGATATAATGACGTCATGTTCACTGAAGAGAGTTCGCTATAGGCTTTCAACTAACAGTTATTGTCATGTGTAAAACCTACATTGTTTTTCATTATTATTATTGTTTTGTTTGATATGTTGCTTATGAATTCTTTATTGGGAAAATTTAAAAAACATAATTGCTGTGGATAAAGCCAGGCTACCTTTTTAGCCTGTGTGCTAAGCTAAGCTAACGGGCTGCTGGTTGAAACCTGAAAAAAAAGCACATTTCTCAAAATTTGTTGAATGAAATAATTGGGAGAGATTTTTCTTAAGAAAAGCAAAGTTTGTTATTCACCAAACTTTTTGTTTTATTAGCAAAGAGCGCTTCAACTCCAATCTAATTTATAGATCCACATTTCGACTGCTACTGTTGTGACTTGGAGGAAAGTTAAACCTCAGTTTCTGTGTTAGTCCATTATCTTACAGTATATATTTGTTCCCAGTCCTCAACTACAGCATGGCTGTCAACATCCTGGGAGTGGCAGTGATGATGGTTTTCTACCTGCTGGTTCTCGGGGTCGGGATCTGGGCGTCTGTCAAGTCCAAAAGGGAGGAGAGCAAAAGTGCAGCTAACAAGATGGACATGGCCCTGCTGGGAAACCGAAGCATAAACAAGGTGGTGGGGGCCTTCACAATGACAGGTGATGTATTATTGTTGTGGAGGCTGTTGCTGCACTCTTTGAATTTAGGGAACAGGAAATACAGGTGACACTAAAGCTGAAGAATGTCAACAGACCAAAACCTGCAAACTGTGCTGACGACCGTTTTCAATAGAAAACTAAACTGTACCTGCTCCTCCTGTGAACTCATGGCTCTGTTTCTATGTGCTTGTTCGTCCCGTAGCCACGTGGGTTGGAGGATGTTTTATCATGGGATTGAGTGAGATGACTTACACCCCCTCCATGGGACTAACGTCAGCCATAATCCTGTTAACAGCTTTCTCTTTTTGTTTTATTTTAGGTAAGTATTGATGATTTATAATAAAAAAAAACCTTTTGATGATGTCTGTATATTTAGAACTAACAGTATTTCATTCAAAACACATTAGCGTTAGCTCGCTGTGTAACAATCTCAAAATAACAAATAACCAAGTTCAGAGGGATATTAAAGCTCCTCCAGTGTAAAGGTCTGTGTCCATGTGTAGTGTGATTATAGATCAGCTCTAGCTTCTATATTAATACTGTGAAAGTATCAAAGCCTCAGTCCACAGAGAAATGCACACAGCCTGTATTCAGAAACTGAGCCTTAAAACCAGCCGTCAGGACTTCTGGAACTTTGTGATGTCACAACAAAGCAGTCACCAAGCCCCGCCCACCTGGACCCACCATCCAAACCTTGCAGGATTTGGTTTCTCTGAGTGTTTTTACCTGAAATCTGCTTTATTTTTATTGGATCACTCAGAAAACAGTCAGCCAATCAGAAGAGAGGCTCAGAGCTTCCTCTCTTCTGATTGGCTCACCGACCTGTTGTTACTAGAGCTCCAGAGAGAAGCCTGAGAGAGGAGATGTGAAACTACACTGAGATGGGTTTTGGTTCTTAAAACCACAAATATATCTAGTTATGGATATCAAAACTATAATATAGGACCTTTAAAGGAGATTTATTTCAACAGGAATTGCACACAGAACAGATTGCAGTTGGAATAAAGTCAATTATCACTGGTTGTATTATGGTTGTTAAACCATTTTGAGTTTTTTGCATTTATTAAAACTTTCCCAGGAGCTAGAAAAGCACTTAAGAAACACCAGTGTGTAGTTAGGACAGGTAGTCAAGACATTTAGTAATGCATCCGCTGGCTGTTACATCACGCATAGCTTCCCTTGATGGTTGATGACGACTCATAATAAAACATGATGAGATGTTGGTATCACATACAGATTGCATGTCAGTAGCAGGTAAACACGGGGTCTTTCTTATTTATGTTAATTATTGAAATGATGACCCTTTACTGTTTTCTCTTGAACATGTGTCTGCATCCTGCCAACAGCATAACAATCTGTCTTTTATTTTGAAGGTGGTCTTGTGTTCGCCAAACCCATGAGAGACAACGAGTATGTCACCATGTTGGACCCTTTCAATGTCAAGTATGGGAAAGCAGTGATGGCCCTTCAGTCACTGTGTGCACTGCTGATTGATTTGTTGTGGTTGGCAGCAACACTGATTGGTTTAGGTACAGTATGTTTGCACTTTACCCATGTCTAGCCTCTGGTTTCTATTGTTACACTGTTGTAGTCAAGTCCACCTGAACTGAGTCAGAAACCAGGGTTTACAAGAACCTCTTCAATAATGAAAAGCTTTTTACTAGTTCGAATAAAAAAAAACATGTAAACACTGTCACATTATGGGGATTCATTTTGGGACTAAACCATCAGATTTTAGGGGAAATCTTTGCTTTTTGGTAAAGGTTTAAATGAGAGCAGCTGAAGGTTTTTGGGAGCGTTGGTATTAAGTATGTAGTGCTTAGTCAGGAATTTAATGTAAGTCAATAAAATGATGTAACAAACAATAAAATCGTCTCCTGTGTTGGTAACAGGTGGCACCACAAGTGTGATTTTGGATTTGTCCTACACTGTCAGCATCTGGATCTCTGTCATCGTCGTCATTATCTACACACTGCTGGGCGGACTCTACTCTGTGGCCTACACTGACATCATACAGCTCGTCCTAATATTCATCACCCTGGTGAGTTCAGTAATTATTTTAATTACTTTCAGTAATGATATAGTTTCATATCTGTAGTTTTAAGACAGGAGGAAGCTTTTGATTTATCAGTTTCAAAGTGTTGAGTATTGATTCCCTTCAAATGAAATATTCTCTTTGGGACAATCTCTGTTCAATAACAATAACACAGTGATCACTGGAAAAGAAAACTAGCTGTTATTCAATTCAAGCACAGAAGTCATGTCATTTATAAATGGTATCAACTGGTTTGTCGTGCTCTTTTTTATAGATTTAAATTTTTACTTTTTAAGTTGTCAATGGCTCCTCAGACAAACTCACATCTATATCTCTTTTCCAATTATTCCATATTTATAGGTAAATACATGAGCACTTGAGGACCAAATGAAGTAAATCAAATCATAGACCTCCAACTAAAAATAAATAAATAATAAATAAGTAAATAAATAAAAAAATAAAATACAAAACAGAGAAACCAAACCAGTCCAAACAACTACAATTAATCCATATTTAAGTATTTGGGTTACTTATTTCAGGTAACTCATCAGCTTATTTTATATTATTATCCTGCATACTTATTTGTCTTATTCATCTTCCGTATCGAAAATTCGGTGCGTAACTAGTGCCGCAGCTTTGAGAAAACCCAGACAAGATGTATATCAGTGCAAGCAGCTATTTCAGTTACACAAAATTGCAGTTTACAGTTTGTGTCATTTTTAGACCGTTTCAGATTTTATAATGGGTGTGTATTGCACGGAATGTTCAGAGCTAGAGTGGATGGCATCATCGCTAGAGTGGGAGAAGCTCTAGAACTCCTCTAAAAAAATTCTGTTTAACTCGTCCTCACGGCCACATATTTCAGTCTTCACACATCGTGGCTTCCTCGGTAGTAGACAAATTCGTGCTGTTTCTTAGAAAGTGTCTACCTTAGCACAGAGACTTACAGAATTTGAATAGTGAGCCTCAAAGTGATGGGAGTACCCTCCACCTCTCCTATTGACTGCAATACAAATTCAGGAGCTGATTTCCAGAGAAAAGCAGAAATGACCCGTTTTTGTAACTTGCTCCTGTTTCCACATTTTTGGCTCTAGAAACACCAAAGCCACATTATCTGTGCACAAAGATCTTGTGACACTCATGGTACGCTCATGGTTCTCATAGGAGTTACCGTTCTTTTCAAAAATACCAGTTGTTTGAGAGGCTCGCCAAGACAAAATCTCACTCAGCTGTGTCAGCTCTGTGTCTTCCAGCTAGACACAGGTGTTCAAAACAGCTCATTAAGAGACTCTTTGACCTCTGTGATGTTTACACACATAGCCCCACACACACACACACACACACACACACACACACACACAATACTTATGCAGTATCCAGGGAGAAATGGACAAAGCTGATTCTCATTGGCTAATTAGACTCATTAACTCTTACCGTTATTACTCTCAAGTATGAGAGCATCTATAAGGCAAATCAGCACTGTGTATGTGTATGTGTTCATGCCTTTCCATGATTGTGAGGACAATTTTGTGAAGAACCCATTTTCGTACACATATATGTACACACATACACACGTGGACAAAATTGTTGGTACCCTTCCGTTAAAGAAAGAAAAACCCACAATGGTGACTGAAATAACTTGAAACTGACAAAAGTAATAATAAATAAAAATTTACTGAAAATTAACTAATGAAAATCAGACATTGCTTTTAAATTGTGGTTCAGCAGAATCATTTTAAAAAACAAACTAATGAAACTGGCCTGGACAAAAATGATGGTACCCCTAGAAAAGATTGAAAATAATTTGACCATAGGGACATGTTAAACTAAGGTGTGTCCTGTAATTAGCATCACAGGTGTCTTCAAACTTGTAATCAGTCCGTCTGCCTATTTAAAGGTTGAAAAGTAGTCACTGTGCTGTTTAGTATCATGGTGTGTACCACACTGAACATGGACCACAGAAAGCTAAGGAGAGAGTTGTCTCAGGAGATTAGAAAGAAAATTATAGACAAGCACGTTAAAGGTAAAGGCTATAAGACCATCTCCAAGCAGCTTGATGTTCCTGTGACTACAGTTGCACATATTATTCAGAAGTTTAAGGTCCACAGGACTGTAGCCAACCTCCCTGGACGTGGCCGCAAGAGGAAAATTGATGACAAATTGAGGAGACGGATAATACGAATGGTAACCAAAGAGCCCAGAACAACTTCCAAAGAGATTAGAGGTGAACTCCAAGGTCAAGGTACATCAGTGTCAGATCGCACCATCCGTCGCTGTTTGAGCCAAAGTGGACTTAATGGAAGACGGCTGAGGAAGACTCGACTGTTGAAAGCAAATCATAAAAAAGCGAGACTGGAGTTTACCAAAATGCATATTGACAAGCCACAAAGCTTCTGGGAGAATGTCCTTTGGACAGATGAGACAAAACTGGAGCTTTTTGGCAAGTCACATCAGCTCTATGTTCACAGACGCAAAAATGAAGCATACAAAGAAAAGAACACTGTACCTACTGTGAAACATGGAGGAGGCTCGGTTATGTTCTGGGGCTGCTTTGCTGCATCTGGCACAGGGTGTCTTGAATCTGTGCAGGGTACAATGAAATCTCAAGACTATCAAGGCATTCTGGAGCGAAATGTGCTGCCCAGTGTCAGAAAGCTTGGTCTCAGTCGCAGGTCATGGGTCCTCCAACAGGATAATGACCCAAAACACACGGCTAAAAACACCCAAGAATGGCTAAGAACAAAACATTGGACTATTCTGAAGTGGCCTTCTATGAGCCCCGATCTAAATCCTATTGAACATCTGTGGAAGGAGCTGAAACATGCAGTCTGGAGAAGGCACCCTTCAAACCTGAGACAGCGGGAGCAGTTTGCTCACGAGGAGTGGGCCAAAATACCTGTCGACAGGTGCAGAAGTCTCATTGAGAGTTACAGAAATCGCTGGATTGCAGTGATTGCCTCAAAAGGTTGTGCAACAAAATATTAAGTTAAGGGTACCATCATTTTTGTCCAGGCCAGTTTCATTAATTTGTTTTTTAAAATTATTCTGTTGAACCACAATTCAAAAGCAATGACTGATTATCATTAGTTAATTTTCAGTAAATTTTTATTTATTATTACTTTTGTCAGTTTCAAGTTATTTCAGTCACCATTGTGGGTTTTTCTTTCTTTAACGGAAGGGTACCAACAATTTTGTCCACGTGTGTATATTGACAGACACACAAACCATCTCCACCTTTGGATATTCACCTTATAAAAAATCATAATTTTGGCATCTAATGTTTCGAAGCACTGTACTTCAATTAATATGAGCTACTTTTTCAACAATTTTAGCATTGTGGTGAGGTGATCTTTTCAGTAGGACTCGTAGTTTTCCCTCCGATATCCCATTTTTGATGAAGTTTCATCTTAAAAGCTGTTGTCTGCCTAAGAAGACAGAGGGGATTGTGTGTGCGTGTTTCCCTCCTCCCCCTGGTGGCCACAGTCGCCAGTGGCAACCAGTGTCTCAGCAGGTGCTATTCAGCAGGTGTTACTAGGCAGAAATGGGCAAAGCTGATTCTGATTGCCTAATTAGACTAATTAATTCTTAGCCTTTTAACTCAGGTATGAGAGCAACTTTAAGGTAAATCAACACAGTGTATTTGCGTGTACTTCTATGTGTTGATGTGTGTTTCTTTGCATGTGTGTACATGTCTTTCTATAATTGTGAGGACAATTTTCATTAAAAAAACTTTATTGTGAGGTCCTGACAACTTCAAAGGGCTGTTTGAAGGTTAAGATTACGCAGTTCCAAACACCACGCACACACATACATTGAAAGATGCACCAACACCATCACGACCATATAGATATTAACTAATGGATAAGTGTCTCAACCTGGCAAAACAAGCTTTTTGGAGGCTCTATAGTAGACAGCTCTACTGCCACACACATGCATATTGAAAGACACACACAAACACCATCTTCACGATTTTGATTAACCTTCAAAATAAAAGTCTCAACATGGAAAGAAAGAAAAAGAATCCCAAAAAGGTAAGAGGTAAGGTAGGTCATAAAAGTTCGATCTTAAGAAGCTATTGTCTACATGGGGATATAGTGGTATAGCTTTATTACAGATGAACTTCTTTAAGGCATGTGTACATGTGTGTATACATGTCTTTCTGTGGTTGTGGGGACAAATTTGTGTTTGAAACCATCAGTGTGAGGTTATTTTTGGCCAGTCGTTCGACAGCTTCAAAAGGCTTTTTTGAGGGACACCTGAGCGTGACTTGAGGTCAGTGTCAGGATTACACTCTCTACAAATAGAGTGAAACTGAAAGTAACATCTTTGTACATTTTGGAACGTGAGGAGTGAAGTAAAAGCACCTAGCAGTAGGAACATTCAAAAAGTTCAACCAGGAATTTTCTAGTTATTATTATATATTGTGCATAAACAAACAAACAAAAAAAATCAATTATAGGCCTGTTGTACTGAATTGCATTGGATTGAAACAGATGTAACTAATAAAGTGATATTAACTTTATGTTTGTATCTGTAAGAGGTGTGGGTTTCCCATGGTTAAGTTTTCATGGCCTTGGCTTATTTTGTAGTTCAAGTAATTTATACTAAATACGTCTTCTCACTTCAGTGGCTGCCATGTTTTTCCTTGTCTTTGCAGTGGACCTGTGTCCCCTTTGTCTTCATGAACCCCTCCTCCCTGGACATCACCCAGACGGCCCTGAACTACACCTTTCAGGCTCCATGGATCAATAAACTGGAGAGCAAGTTTGCCTGGACGAACATCGATGGTTTCTTATATCTGGTAAAATCAAGAAGATTAACGAGCTAATCTTGTTAAAGTCATTATAGTCGATTTAATAGAGTAAGAAAACAACACTGCTGTTTGAATTTTGAACCTGAATTCAACATGTTATTACAGTTTGAATATTCTTTTTCTCCCCACGTTTGTACGAATGTTCAGATGTCGATTATAAAGTGTCAAATTTTTTTTAAAATATGACTGTTTTACTTTCAAGTCACTGGGAAGTCTGGGATACCAGTCCTTCCATCAGAGGACCTTGTCAGCTTCGTCCTCGTCTTCTGCCAAGATGTCTTGCTTTGTTGCTGCTTTCTGTATCCTTATTTTTGGAATACCTCCAATCCTTATTGGGGCAGTGGCTGCATCTACAGGTAAAATAAATAAACTGATGTTTATTCAAAACAATCTGGACTATGATCAGGGTTTAAGAACTCCAGAACTGCTGAGACCTTCAAGAACCTAAAGACAATCAGTCAATAGAATGATTAGATTAGAAAGATTAGATCTAAATTCATCAAGGACGTAGACTCATCCGCAAGAGTGGAACGTTTTTGCTAACTAGCTTACAGCTAACATCAGTACAGTTAGTGACCACAGACTGTAAATAAAGATGGACGTAGCCTCTGTGACATCACCCGCAGGTTTTTGAGGAGCAGTTTTGAAGCTCAGAGTGAGCTGCCCCGCCGTCGCCATCTTGGCAGTGCCTGACTCCGCTCATAACTCCCAGCTAATCCAAAAATGGACAAACTAACTAACCCAAGCCCAATTTATTTGCTGGCTAATTAGGTGGTTAGCAAGCTAAGCTATGCACGCCCTCAATCCTCCATAACTTTAGTCCTTAATAAAATGTAAACAGGTGAGTTGTATAAACAGGTGTCATGAAGGAGGGAAAATATATCTTCTAGAAGAACCAAAAAACAGTTTTTGGACCCAGCGCTCCGGCTGTATAACATGTTGATTTCTGCTGTAAAGTTGGACATTTTAACATGGGAGTCTATGGGGACTGACTCACTGTTGGAGCCAGACTCTAGTGGCCATTAGAGGAACTGCACCTTTTGGCCACTTGTTAGTAAAATATATTGGATGTTTGGGAGGAACAAACCCAAGCAGTCCAAGTCCTGAGAGTATTGTTTCAGACTAACTGTCTTCCATTTGTTTATCCAACCGTCTCCTATCGTGTCAGACTGGAACCTCACTTCTTATGGTTCTCCATCTCCCCTGGATCGTGGAGAGGGAGCCATGGTCCTGCCCATCACCCTGCATCACCTCACCCCAAGCTTCATCTCCCTCATTGGTACCGGAGCCATCGCCGCTGCTGTCATGTCATCAGCGGACTCTGCTCTACTCGCCATAGCCTCCATCTTCACCTCCAACATCTACAAGACGATCCTGAGGCCTCAGGTGGGGAGAGAGGCTGCGGGAAAACTTGAAGAGTAGAATGTGAAACCTTATAGATTCGTTGCAACTCATTTTTTCATGCTATTTCATTTCTACTCAGGCGTCACAGAGAGAGATTCAGTGGGTGATCTATGTGTCTGTGGTGGCGGGGGGCCTGGCCTGCACAGCACTCACCAACCTGAAGAACAATGTTGTAATACTGCTGTTATTTGGTAGCGAGCTGGCCTACATCTTGACCTTCTCTCAACTCATCTGCGCCTTGTTCTTCAGCATCTCCAACGGTTATGGTGCTGTTATCGGCTGGGTGACAGGGCTGGTGTTAAGACTGCTGAGTGGAGTCCCATTTCTGGGGGTAGCGCCAGTCATACACTTCCCAGGATGCACTCTTGAGGACGGCATTTACGTCCAGTACGCTCCCATTAAGACCATTGCGATGCTTGCTGCCTTCACTGCCAACTTGTTGTTCTCGTACCTGGCGTCGGTGCTCTTCAACAGAGGCCTGCTTCCTCAGTGGTGGGATGTGTTTGAGGTGAAAGCCCCGCCCTCGCCACGACCGCTTACACCAACAGACGCTGAAGAAGGACACAACAAGATGGAGAAGTTGGATGAGAAACAATCTCATCAAGAAGCTTCAGAGCCAATGATTAGCACCACGTGTTAAATGTTCTCTGTGTGTCAGAATATCTTTACAGTTGATGTTTAAGTGTATGTCTTTAAGGGGATTGACCTACAGATGATGAAGGGTGTCACTGTTTGTCTCTGGTCTCTCTTGTTCCCTCCTCTGGGCCTCCTGTCATGATTCCTGTCTCCTGTCTGTTCCCTGCCCACTGACACACCTGTTCCTCATCTGATCCCTGACATTAATTCCAGCCCTTTTTCCCCCAGTCAGATCTCAGGCCATGTCGACACGTGTAGCAACGACTGTCCATTGAAGAAAGCTGCAAAGAGATTCTAAAGTGAACTCTTAACTGTGATGTGTTTCTACAAAGTTCATTTGAATATTTGACATGACAAGAACAGACCTGCAACTGTGGAATGACAGAAGTAATGTGAAACCACACCTATGTGTCAACTGCTTGAAGCAATAATCAATGTACACGTCAATCAGAAATCAGGTTGTTACCGGTTCTTTAGATTCAAGTGTTTGAGTCTCATTGTCCTCATACATTTTTGGCAACACTGTATTTGTATCACCAGCACTTCATAGGAGCTGCAGCTTAAGATAAAAGTATTGATTGATATTAAAATTCAAGATGGACACCTAAGACACCAATTGTCAGCAACTACACCAACTCTTTTAAATGGTCTAGTTTTTAATTCTCTAATGTTTCCAAGGTCCTGTTTTATTGTGTTATATGCATGAATAATGTGTATTCTTGTGAGACTGTGTGACACCTGTCGTGTGTTGCCATTTTTACCTTTTCTGTCTGACAAAACAAATAATGTATAATAAGAGACTTCCTGGATAAACAAAATAAAATAGAATAATGTGGCCCCACAACCTCATCAAGCCTTAATCTGCCAAAACCTTCATATAATAATTAATTATTCATGTCTGTAAAATGTCAGAACACTGTAAAAGCTCAATTTCCCAGAGAGAGTAGATATATTCAAACTGACTCTTTGTCCAACCATTGGTCCAAAAAGCAGCATCATTACATGTATGAGGCCTGAACCAGCAGTAACTAGTTTGGCATTTCTGTTTGAAAACAATTAATTCATCAAAAAGAAAAAAAGAATCAAATTACAAATCAATGTTTGTTAATAAACTTATTAAAATGTATTATTTCATATTTAATAGTATATTCAACTATAACTGACTGCTGCCAGAGGTTTTGTCTTGTCTGAGTCATGTGAAAGGACTGATCAGCTGATCGTGGATCCATAATCAATTGAGTTTCAGTGGGAAGGAGCCATCAAATCTTCAAGGTGTAGAGAGTCTGAAATGACGTCACTTTTATTTAGCAAAGACTCACGTTTTTAAAGTTGTAGTGTTTGTCAGGTGAGACTAAATTTGCTTGAATTTACTGGGACTGTACTGAGGGCGGCATACCTACCTCCGTCGCCATGGTTACTATAATAAACGCTCATGGCTTGGTTAGGTAATGGAAAAGATGGTGGTCTCCCTCTTTCTATCATGTTTGTTGTTGATTAAAGCCAATATAGAAAGTCTTTTATTAAAAAGCAGCACTTTATCACATCTGTGAGGCTTGAATCAACAGTAATTAAAAAAAACACACAAAACAGCAAATATTATATATAACATTAAAATGTGTTCTTTCATATTTCATAGTATATTTATATATAACTGACTTTTGCTGCCGGAGGATTTGTCTTGTCTGAGTCACTGAGTCATTTTGTAACATCTATTGTGTGGCCGATCTCAAAACAATAGCTTCGTTCCGTAAACACACCATTGCCTTTGGAACCCTAGCACCAGATCTTCTGATTTCCGACCACAAAAGTAACTCCTAAACGCAGCATACAAAGGACGCATGTGCAGTTCCTGCTTGAATTCGATTGGTCCGTTTCAAACTCAGACCGCGGCTGTGTTGTTGTATTTAGCTCAACGTCAAATTAGCACACAAAAGACTATTTTTTCGTTTCTGTACCTCATGTCCCACATAAAACTGCCAGGTGAGTATCTGTCCTGAGTAATATATCAGCTGTAGTGTCGTGTGTCGAGTTACTTTCAGAACAGTAAACGGACTTTTGTCAAAATACGGTATAAGTATCAGTTGACAGGAGCAAGCTAGCTGGTTAGCGATTAGCATAGCTAATGAACGTGAATACAAAACAAACAATAAAAAATGGCTTTATATATCGACCGAGACAGATGGCGTTAACAAAGTGAGGATTCAGCTCGAGCTCGATGAGAAGTAACCAATACTTATTCAATATAAAGTCAACTTTAAACCGTTTTCAGGTGCGGTTTGTGGACCAACTGTTTGTTAACAAAGGTTATTTAAACGCGTTTTGCCGAAGTCACGGTAAATCCCTTAACGGTTTGTTTAGAATAATAAAAAAAAGTCGATACCAAACCAATTTCAAAGGGACCAGTTTTTATGAAGGGCGTGACACTCGGTTCTCTGGATGCTACAACTACCACTACATCCTGGCTAACGTTAGAGCTACTCCTCTTGAGTTTATGTGACGCCCAAAGTTAGTCCGAGTGACATCACTAGACCTTTGACCTTTTTGATACCTTTATTGATTTACTCTTTTTTTTTTCCTGTTGCAGGATGATGACGGATTTATGCCCGAACAACAGAGCTCAGGTAGAGGTCGACGATTTGAAGAGAGTCCACTCATCAGATTTCTGCACCTTACCGGACTCACAGGTAAATCGGACGGGGTCATTCACAATGAAACCATCAATACTTCTACTACCACCACTGGAGCCCGACCGATACTGGATTTCTGGGGCCGATACTGATATTGGGGAGTAAAAAAATAAGGATATGTAGGCTATACTTCAGTCTGTGCTCCAGGTATCAGAAAGCAACTCAATCAAATGATTGCACTGTGGCAATTTATTCACTTGCAGGTTTTTACACTAAGTTACAGTGAAGAACACAATCAGTATTAACCATTTTACTCTTGTGTTGTTTTTTTCAAATATCAGCTGGTTCTCTTAGGATAACTATATGAAACTAGAGAAATCCCTGTTTGACACATATCCATGCAGTTTTTCCCCATAAACATGCTGATGGTATTTTCCATTTCATGGACTTATGGACTTCTGTGTCAGTAGTTGTTGCGGTTAGCACAGTAGCGTGAAAGTCTGATTTCTTTATCTACCACCACCTTATTTAGCACCCATTAGCCCAGCTTCTCCCAGCATGCACTAGGTGTTAGCTGGATGAGCCACATTAACAATCACTGTCTTTCTGTCAACTAGGAAGTGAGGCTGCTCTAACTTCTTGTCTTTAACTCCTGAACCACCAACTGATGGTTATGTTGTCTACTAATCCAGATGTGAGCTTCAACCTAATGCCAATAAATGTAGTATTTCACTTTCCTTTTGCTGTTTGTGATTAAACCCTGATCTGTCGTGCAGCATTCCAGCATCGAGGAGAGAGAACACCTTCAGGTCTACCTCCGAATCCGACCCTTCACCTCAGCAGAGAGCAGTAACGGAGAGTCACAGGTAAAACTAAAGAAAAATCAAATAAGCAGGGAGTTGATCAGAAATGAATGCCAGTGACTTTGGTAGCTGCTTGGCTTCCTGGCTTGTATTTATTTTTAAAGTCGGCTTTGTTTTCCAGTTGAACTGTTCTGCTATTAAAGGTCAAAGATAAAATCCTTTTTGTTTTGTCTCCCTCCCTCTGTTTTGTTTTGTGTAACAGGACTGTGTTGCCATCGAGCCTCCTGACACGGTTCTGCTGAAGCCTCCCAGTCTGTCGCTCTCGGCGAGGCTGAGCACTGACAGATCACTGCCACAGACTGGACAGCGCTTCCAGTTCTCTCAGGTTTCTGCTTCCCTACATATTAGAAAGCCAAACAAGTTTTATCTCCTCTGGCCACAGAAAGATTTCTTTTCTTTTCTCAGACTCATGTATTGAAAGAATCACTTTTGAATATGTGGTCATTTGTATACGATCCATTTTGGTGCCTTTGAACCTAAAAACAGGGTCAGAGAAGTTTGAGGAATCCCAATTTGAAAGATGTGTTTGCTTCATTTTTAACAACAAGTTTCGGTTCATTAACGATAAACTTTCTTTCCATCCTTGAACAGGTGTATGGTCCTGAGACGACACAGAGAGAGCTGTTTGAAGGCACGGTGAAGGATCTGGTGAAAGATGTTCTCGAAGGGGGAAACTCTCTGGTTTTCACTTATGGAGTCACCAACGCCGGGAAGACCTTCACATTCTTAGGTCTGTTCCACTGCCTCATACGTGCAGCGCTACACAGATAGAGACACATTTTTTACACGATCTTCGGTTCAGCTCGGGTTGTGCATCCTCTGCTTTTCAACACTGAGATCTCAGTTTGTTGCTGATAAATGATCTAAGTATATTTTACAGGTGTTGCAACTTTAGTTAGTGTAGATTCTGCTTTGTTTGGTCTCTTTGTTTAGTTTATTTCTGTCTGGAGTTTTTAATAATAATAATAATACATTTTATTTTGCAGCGCCTTTCACAGCACTCAAGGACACTTTACAGAAGATTAAAAACACAATAAAAATAATAAAAAACAACAGACAGTTAAAAAGAAGACAATGAAATTACAGCGAATATGCAGATTGAAACAGATGAGTTTTGAGTCTTGATTTGAACTGGGGTAAAGAAACAATGTTATGGATGTCTGGTGGGAGAGAGTTCCAGAGTTGGGGAGCAGAGCGGCTGACAGCTCTGCTCCCCATGGTGCTGAGGCGGGCGGATGGCATAAAGAGGTGAAGGGAGGAGGAAGACCGGAGGGAACGAGAGGGGGTGGTAATGCGGAGGAGATCAGCCAGATAGGGGGGGGCGAGGTTATGGATGGCTTTGAAAGTGTAGAGAAGGATTTTGAATGTGATACGGAATTTGACTGGGAGCCAGTGGAGCTGCTGGAGGACGGGGGTGATGTGGTGAAAGTAGGGGGTTCGGGTGATGATACGGGCTGCAGAGTTTTGGACCAGTTGGAGCTTATGGAGGGATTTGTGGGGGACACCGAAGAGGAGTGAATTACAATAATCAATATGCGAGGTGACGAGGGTGTGAACTAGAATGGCAGTGGTGTGAGGGGTGAGAGAGGGGCGGAGACGATTAATGTTGCGTAGATGGAAATATGCAGACCGAGTGATGTTATTAATGTGGGAGTGGAAAGAAACTTTGCTGTCGAGGGTGACACCCAGACTCTTAACCTGTGGGGAGGGGGACACTGTGGAGCTGTCTATGGTGAGGGAAAAACTGTCAGCTTTGGATAGGGAGGATTTGGTGCCGATAATAAGAAGTTCAGTTTTATCACTGTTTAATTTGAGGAAGTTTGCGGTGAACCAGGATTTGATTTCAGAAAGGCTGTGGGTGAGGGAGGAGGGAGGGAGAGTGCAGTTCGGTTTACTGGAAAGATAGAGCTGGGTGTCATCCGCGAAGCAGTGAAACTGGATACCATATTTACGGAAGATATTGCAGAGGGGGAGGAGGTATATGATGAAGAGGAGGGGCCCCAGGACGGAGCCCTGGGGCACACCTGAAGTAACGGGGGAGGGCTGTGAGGTAAAGGACTTGAGCTGAATGAACTGAGTGCGGCCAGTGAGGTAAGAGTGGAACCAGAGAAGGGGGGTGTGAGAGATGCCAATGGAGGATGGGGTGAGAAACGGTGTCGAAGGTCGCACTCAGATCGAGGAGGATGACGATGGGGATCAAACCGGTGTCAGATGCCATGAGGAGGTCATCTGTGATCTTAATCAGGGCTGTCTCTGTGCCGTGGCGGGGATGGAAACCGGACTGGAATTGTTCATATAGGCTGTTTTGGGTGAGATGGGTGTGGAGCTGAGAAGCAACAGTTTTCTCTAAAATTTTGGAGATGAAAGGAAGGTGAGAAATGGGACGGAGGTTATTGAAGTTATTAGGATCTGAACCAGACTTCTTCAGCATGGGGCAGACGGCTGCAGATTCGAAGAGAGTGGGAACAATTCCAGAGGACAGTGAGGAGTGGATAATAGCTGATATGAGGGGGAGCAGAGAGGGGAGGCAGGATCTGACCAGGACTGTGGGGAGGGGATCCAGTTGACATGTAGAAGGCTTGGACTTAATGATGAGAGAAATACCATAACTTCCACACAGTCCAACGATATGCTCCCGTCACCTTAGGTCCAGATGCTGATGCAGGTATCCTGCCCAGGTCTCTTGATGTGATCTTCAGCAGCATCGATGAACATGTTTTCCCCGGGATGAGCATCAAACCTCACCGCTGCCGAGAGTTCACGCGTCTCACCAGGGAGCAGCAGGCCGAGGAGGCGCTGTTCAAGAGAAACCTCTTCAAGCAACTGAAAGAGGTAACGTGGCCGTCCGGTCTGCCTGTTTAGACCTGTTTGTCTGAGTGTTTTTATGTCTTGTTTGATATGTTTTATAATTTACACTGCTCTAAAATGTGCCATATATAAATAAACTTGTCATCCTTCCTCTTTCAGAGTGAGAGGAGCAACGCCAGCATTTTGAACGCGACCAATAAGACTCTCCTTGAAGGCAAGATTTACATTTGTCTTTTAATCTGTTTATCTGTTAATTAGTTAGTGGGTTTTTTTCTGTTTCTTGCACTGCAGGTGTAAATCAGCAGTGACACCAGCTGTGCACTGTTGATAAAGTTTAATTATTCTGTTTATATTTACAAAATGTAATGTCTAAACCTCGGCAGTTTGGATTTTTGTAGTTTTCACTGTGGTTTTAAATAGTTTTATTCTGTATAAAGGTGAAGTATAAAGTTACTGCTGTTATTGTATCCACTATAATGAGGGATTTTTAATGTTTTGCAGCTCCCTCCATCCTGGGGACGTCTGTAGCAGCAGAGGACAGAATCAGCCTGGAGGTGGAAACAAACACTAAGTTCTCCGTCTGGGTTTCCTTCTGTGAAATCTACAACGAGAACATTCACGACCTCCTGGAGGTGGCGCCCAGTGCGGCCCCGCGGAGGACAGTGCTGCGCCTGTCGCAGGACGTCAAGGGCAACGCTTTCGTCAAAGGTTTGAAATGAAACCTCTGTTTTCTTACAACCAACATGTTACTGAACACTGGGACAAACGCACACGTTAATGGTGGGAAACTTCTTCAACTTCAAAACAGCAAAAGTTCACATGAATGTTCTGTTTGTGTGTCTGTGTTCAGACCTGCGTTGGGTTCAGGTGAACAGTGCAGAAGAGGCTTACAAGGTGATGAAGCTGGGCAAGAGGAACCAGAGCTTCTCCTCCACCCGACTCAACCAGCTCTCCAGCAGGAGGTGAGCACGACACGCAGCAGCACTGACACATTCAGCTGCAGCACTGAGTGCAAAAGTCTAATAATAATATTAATAATAATAATAAGTGATTTATTCCTACATCACCAACGATACTAGGAACCTTTGGTGTGTTCTGTTTATCTCACTACTTCTTATTCTGAGCTATAGTTGTAGTCACAATGAAATAAACACAACTCACATTAAAAAGATTGTTTACACCATCTTAATTCTCTCTCTGCAGTCACAGTATTTTCTCCATCCGCGTTTTGAGGATTGAGGACATCGGGACTCCGAGGGTTCACACAGTCAGTGAGTGAGTGAAACTTCAGATTTAACTGGCAGCACTGTGCACAATAAAGTCTGGTAAACATTTAATAATGTTGAACGTGAATGTAAAGCATTTGTTTTTGTGTAAGGTCTCATCTTCTTTACCTGGGTGAATGTGTTTGTCGTCAGGTTGTGTCTGTGTGACCTGGCCGGCTCCGAGCGATGCGCCAAGACCCAGAATAAAGGCGAGCGTCTGAAAGAAGCGGGAAACATCAACACCTCGCTGCTCATCCTGGGAAAATGCATCAACGCACTGCGACACAACCAGCAGGCCAAGTGAGATCATGACCCGTCAACTTTCTTTTCTTCTACAGCTTCTACTGCTGTGTGATTATTATGTCTCTCTTTAACCTCCAAAAACAAAACAAAGGAAACGATAAACCCACTTTTCAGAACATATCCAGCAGCAAACGGCTACAAGACAAAGCAGCTACCTGGGGAAGAAAGTTGAACATCCAGCAGCTTAAGGACCAAATATTTTTCTCAGGAGTTTGTGGAGTCACCAACACTTTTGCTGTCACAACTTCACGATCATATGCGTGTCTGTCGGATTATTTTTGTAATTAATGCGTCTTTAAATCAGTTTAAGACTGCAGCATCTCCACATATATCTAAGCTAACCGTGTGTCTGCTCCCGCCGTCAGGCTGCTTCAGCATGTTCCCTTCAGGGAGAGCAAGCTGACCCACTACCTGCAGGGCTTCTTCTGTGGTCGAGGTAAAGCTTGTATGATCGTCAACATCAACCAGTGCGCCTCCATGTACGACGAGACGCTCAACGTGCTCAAGTTCTCTGCTGTGGCGCAGAAGGTGCGTATTTTATTTTCTCTTTTTATCATGCGTTCATTCAATCAATCAGTTAGGAGCTAACCGAACTCTGTTTCCAGGTTGTGGTTCTGTCCACACGGCCCCCTCCCATCATCCCCCAGAGATCTGCCAGCGAGGCATCCGTCATCACCAACAGTGGAGAGAGGAGGGCTGCCCGGAGCAGCAGGAGGAGCTCCTTGAATGGCTGGGAAAGCAGCCTGGAGGATGTACAGGTGGGTTGAGCTTCCTCGTTCAGTACTTTTTTATTTTTACAGCTGCAGTTTGAATCTTTTCTTGAATCATAACAAGTGAAATCATGGTGTTATTAAAACGTGTTCTCCAGGAGGATGTGGACGATGAGTGTGAGGAAGAAGACAGCCTGATGGAAGTGACCGTGGATCAGACAGGCAATGAAGAAGACGGAGATGAAGACGATGACAAAATTCTCCTGAGTAAAAAGATGCACCAGGTCAGTCTCCTCGTGTTTTACCGTATCATTAAAGTGGAGAAGAGATTTTTAGATTCCAGCACAGAGTGAAACATCAGGGAGGCAAGAAAACATTTAGAGAAGATAGTGACTTGTGTTTCAGGAGGACTGGAGAGGCCCAACCGTCTTTACTAAACTTTTCACTTTTCCCTGCTTTATATGATTCTGCCTCCACACTGTGAACAGGAAGGAGGTCGGAAGGTGGGAAAGAAAATATTGTTTTTAAAAGTGTAGATACAAGATTTCATGTTTTAATTTTCTCTCATGTTTCTGCTGGCGCCGCGTCATGTAACGGCCGTGTGTTGCCCGTGTTCAGCAGTGTTAGTGAAATAACAGGACGTCGTTGTGTGTGCCGCTCCTCAGAGGCAGGTGGTGCTGTTGAAGCAGCTGCAGGTGCAGCTGAAGAAGGAGCGGGCGGAGAGTCTGCTCCTGGAGGCGCGAGTGAGAGAGGAAATCAGCAGAGAGTTCTCCGAGCTTTTCTCTGAGATGCAGAACGACTACAGGTGAGACATTTCTTCTTCTTCTTGTTTTATAATGCACATGTCCACCTGTGGTCTGTAACTGCGCTGCCTCCCATTCATGCGATTACCAGAGTTTTCCCAGTTTTACAGGCCTGTTAGTGTGTTCATGATTTGCAGATTTTCATAATAAAAGCATCAGTCATATTTAATATTTTCCATTATTTTACAGAACAATACATTGTCTGACATAAGAACTCACACCCTAGAAAATAAATAAAAGTAATTAGAATTAGAATAAATAAATAGAGAGACTCACATTTCTCACAGGGAGGCGTTTACAGCATAAAGGTGTTTGGAAGGAATATAACCGACATGTTCAGTGACAGTCCATTATAACGACACAGTTTTCCATCTCACTCAGTGAAACATCAACATATTATTTAACAGTCGTCCACCTTTGTGTAAAAGCGTCTGTTTTCACCTGTAGACTCGCAGCCGTTCGTTCAGGCTCTGCACCCACTGAGTTACGGTTGGAGGTTTTGTATCTTTCCACTTCATCGTTATCATTTTCTTGTAAATCAGAATAAATATTCGCATTACATTCCTGTGATCTGCGTCATACTCCTCGTCAGGTTCAGCTCCTAACAAACTTCTTTTCCAGAATCATTGGGCAGACCCTAAAGATACGCGTTGCTTTTTCAAATGTCATATAAGTGTGTGTGTGTGTGTGTGTGTGTGTGTGTTTTTGTGCAGTGACCGTCTGGGGAGAGAGCGGGAAATCCTGGAGGAGCGAGCAGAAAGGAGGCTCGAGATCTTCAAGAACCTTATTGACAAAATGGCCAAAGCTGGAACCGGTCACGACGCAAACGTCATGGTAACACAACCTCCCTCTCTCTCTCTGTCTCTCTCTCCCTCCCTCTCTCTCTCTGTCTCTCTCTTTCTTTCTTGCATCAGACTCAGTATATGAATGTTTTTTTATTTTTTACTTACTGGTCTTATGTTGTTCGTACTTCAACAGATTTTATGACGAGTGTCTCTGTGACGAGACTCTTCCCCTCACACTTGTCACAAACACCCAGTTCACAGCGATGCGTGTTGAAACGACTTTATACGCTGTGAAAGATCGATCTCTTTTTGATGTCCTGTGTTAATTACCCAAGGAGAAATTAGTATGTAGCTGCTCATGTGGTTATGGATTAAGTATCTTGTTCCAGGATCCAAACCTGGATGCTCATATTGTGGGAATGTGCTCGCTAATCTCCCTGATTAATTTCTCTCATGTTCACTTCCTCCTGCAGGACAAATCTCTGGACTCCTTCTCCTCTGAACTGGCGGGCATAAAGGAGGCCGCTGAGGCTGCTCATAAGTGTCTGGGCTTGGGCCAAGCGGGGCGTCATGGAGACGGGAGCGACACCGTGGAGGAACTGGAGAGGAAGGTGTTGGAACTGAACAAGCACCAGCAGATGGCTCACAAACACAATGGTAAACGCACATGAGAATCCATCAGTGTTTTAACATGAGAATCCATCAGCGTGCTGTGGAGTCCAGAGGATATTTCTACGTGTGTTCTGTGGCTTAGAGACTGGAAGGAAACTCTACATTAACATGCGTCTCAGGTGAACAAGTGTTCAGCTCTGAGTTCGTCAGTTCACACCTGGAGTTAAAATGCGTCTCCAGTGACGCCTTGTGATCAGATCTCACTGGCTCTTCCTGCTCTACTGACGTTCCTCTTCCCATGTGGTCCGCAGCACCTGTGAATCTCAGTGAACTTAGTGCTGACCACTTGTGATCGGATCACCTGAGACAGATGTTGATACCAGGGCTGATCCTCTGCTGATCTTTTTCAAATGTAAATTTTCAGTGTTAAATTAAATTCACAACTTGATAAAATCTCTATTTGCATGGATAGATAGATAGATAGATAGATAGATAGATACTTTATTGATCCCCTAGGGGAAACTCATGGATGACATGTTATGGAGAAAATGTTTTATTTTGTAATTTGAATGAACTGATCTACAGGTTGTCGTCGTACAAAATATTTCAGTTTGAGTGTGTTTGTCTCTGACTGACAGTAACGGCACATTGAATATAGAAATGTCAATAATTAGACGACCTACACATTAGTATCATAAACTTGCTTTGACCCTGTAACATGTGTTTTTAAAGTGATAAATAGAGACACTCTTGAATACCAGTGTGTGTTTCCTGTGTTGGTGAAGGAGAAACCAGCGGAGAGGAGGATGAGGAGAAAAGGAGGCTCCTCTTCCAGCTCCAGGAGAAGTCGTCACAGATTGTCCTGCTGGAGAAACGAGTGGAGGACCTGCAGAGGGAGGCGGAGCTGAGCTCGCAGGGCCGCCGCCCCCTGAGAGACCGGCTGCAGGTTAGCTTGACTTTCCGACCCCCAGTCTGTCCTCTGGCTTACACACTATTAGCCCGATGTTTGTAACAGGGTGACGGGCTTACTCATCTAGGTCAGCTGGGTGAGCGTCTAAAATATGTGACTGTATTTACTGAGAGAGAGAATATAACATGATGACATCATGTCTACTCCATGTGGATGCAGAAGATGAATAATGTGGGTTTAGCAGGTGATGCACTGTGTTTTAATTATATTCAGAACCAGTTGAGGTTCTACCTGGAGCCACAGGAAACAAGGTGCAATCAGCTGTTCAGTTTATTTACAACAGAGGAGAAAAACTTTACAATATCAGCCCAACAAATCGCAAAACCTGCCCTTTTAAATCATTAATGTTTCAAGTAATTATTAATTATGAATTAATAAATATACGAATTTAAAATATACCAGATTCTCTCTTCTTTTCTTTTATTGATTCCTGGTGCAAAGGAATCAATCAGTTGTGTTTTGGCAGCTGCTTCTCCGATCTGGGAAGTTCGAGTCTTTGTGTTTGTTTTGTCCCTTTTGAAATAAAGGAAATAAACTTTAATAAACTCTGACACTAGTGTTTCATCTATGTTTACCTGTGTCATCTGTTTAAACACTAAAATGGTAATTAATCAGTCTGTCCTCACACCCAGGAGGCGTTGACCTCCCTCGAGGAGGAGCAGAAGGCCAGAGAAGACGCCCTCACCGCTCTGGAGTACCAAACGGTCGGCAAAGAGGAGGCACTGGCTTCCTTAGAGGAGGAGAGGAAAGCGAGGGAGGAGACCCTCGCCACACTCGGGGAGGTGAGGCGAGGCAGAGGGGAGGTGGAAGCCTCGCTCGACGAAGAGAGGAGAGACAAAGAGAAAGCCGCGGCAGGCCTCGCAGAAGAGAGGCGGAGCAGAGAGGAGGCGCTTGCTGCTCTGGAGGAGGCTCGGTCGGCTCTGGAGACGGAGAGGAAGGAGAGAGGAAAGAAGCAGCAGGAGTGCGAAGCGCTTCAACAGGAAGTCAGAGAGCTGACTGACAAACTGGAAGCTGCAGAACGCCAGGTGGGTCATGGTGTAGTTTTTTAATCATATGCTAAAATGAAACTTAATCCTCCACCAAACAGAGGAAGTTAACCTCCTTAAAAACCGGGGTTTGTAGTTTTGGGGATGGAGCTGGAAATGATCCTCATGTAAATATACCGTTAGTGCTGAATGTGTAGAGAGGTCTGACGTTTGAGTTCTTCCTTACACGACTAAAAGAAAGTGATATTTGTGGAAATGACTGCAGGTGACGAGCGAGACGGAGAGAGCCGAACGAGCGCTGGTCCAGCTGCAGTCTGCTCGGAAACATCTGGATGAACACTCCAAGCAGATCCAGGAGAAGACGTCCCAGATTCACACCCTGACGCTGGAAGCTCAAGGCCTGACGCAGGAACTGCAGACCACCGCAGCGTCGTCTGACGGCGTCAACGCTCAGCTGAGAGACGAAGCGTCAGAGCTCAGGAAGAATCTGGCTGACGAAAAGGAGAAAAGCGAGAGAAGTCGCAGACGAATGCCGGAGCTGGAGCGTGAGCTAGCACAGGCAAAGGAACAGCTGGCGCACAAGCAACAGCTGGAAGAGTTTAATGAGAAGCTCAGTCAACAGGAAGAAGCTTCAAAACAGCAAATTGAAGAGCTGAGAAAGAAGCTTGAGGAGCAAGAGGATGTCCGATCCAAGCTTGAATGTCAAGAGCTCGCTTCCAGAGAAGAAGTCGAACAGCTGAGAGCAAAACTGGAGGAACAAACGCAGGCCTCGGAAAAGCAGGTGGAGGATCTCAACGAGAAGCTGCGAGAACAGAAAGCGGAGTCACAACAGCTGCTGGAGGAGCTAAAACACAAACTGAGCCAACAGAAAGAAACCTCCGACAAACTCTTAGACGATCTGAAGCGGAGGATTAGTGAACAGGAGCAAACTGCAGAGCAGCTCAAGGCCGAGCTAGGAGAGGCTAAAGGTTCGAGCAGTTCCTGTAGCGCTGCTGCTGAAGAAGAGCTCAAGAGGTTGAACCATGATCTCCAGACAGAGGTGGCGTCCCTGAGGGCAAAGCTCTCCAACATGGAGGAAACAAAGGAGTCTCCCTGCAAACCCGAAGCTCAGCGAGCCTCTTCAGAGACGGAGAGAACGCTAAAGGAAAAGGACGGACAGATGGAGGAGAAGCTAGCAGAGGTGGAGAAAGCGTCCGCGGAGAGAGAGGCAGAGCTGCAGAAAAAGCTGCTGGAGGCGGGAGCGGAGGTAACAACCCTGCAGAAGAGCCTGAAGGAGGCGCAGGAGCGGCGGGAGGAGGAGGAGAGCCAGGCGGTCCAGGAGGCCCGGCGCAGGGAGGCAGAGCGGCGCCGGGAGCTGCTGGCCGTCGCACATGAGGCCATCGCTCAGAAGGACGAGGAGCTGGAGAAGAGAGCCGAGGAGATCAGCAGGTAACCGACGTCTCTTTACATATCTTTTATTTTTAGTTTATTTTATTATATTTATTTTATTTTATTTCATTTTTATTTATTTTATTTATTTATTTTATTTTTTAATTTTTTTAGTTTCTATAGTTATTTATTTGTTTACTTACTGACATCTATTTTTTTCTTATTCATCTATTTACTATCTATTATCTTATCTGTGTATTTACTGAGTTATTTTGGGATTGTTTCACCCAGGTGCCGTCCAGGTGAAGTGGGTGGGAGACTCTAGTATTAAGGGGTAAATAAAAACCCTCTGTCGGGCAGCTAGCTGATCAATGCCGTGATGTACAGGGATAAATAGGAGCAACATGTTTTTAAGTTATGAGGAAACATAATAATAAAGATTTGATCACAAAACAATAAAAAGGCTAAGCAGTTAAGGTCAGCCCAGAGCTAATAATGTTGCTGTAATAATGCTAAAGCTGAATGTGGTTTAGACTTTATCAGATGCTCCACCAGAGAAACTAAAGTCCGTACCTGTAAACCAGAGGTTGAAGCAGCTGTCAGTGGAAAAACATGTGTTTTATAAATAATTGTGGGCTGTTCTCTTTGTGGCAGAGGCTGTTTATTTCCAGAGTCAATATATTAGTTTTAAATAGTAAGAAAAACAACAACAACAGAAAAGCAAAAACAAATGAAGCTTTAAATTCCTGCGACACGAGATCAACGTTGTCTGTTCCTCTTCACCCGAACTATATTCTTATTACTGGTAGGCTGCTGTTTTCATTATTTCTTAAGATTTTAATAGTTTGATAAACAATGTGAAATGTTTTCTGAAATACTCAAGAAAGAGGTAATTATATATAATATTTATGATTTAGTCCTGTACCCTTTCCCCTTCTCCAAATCCCTTTAATTCACATGTAATACTTTTAAAGGACAGACACAGATTTCAGACACTATTCATTTTCATTTGGTTTAGAAAAGATGATCACTAGATAAATGTCAAAATTAAGTTTCGCTTGTTTAAATTATATTTTACCGCCAATTTTATTCTCCTTAGTCTTTCTCCCTGTCACAGTGAACCCCAGAGAGATCCCCTTTAAGAGTGACTGAAACAGTCCTTCATTATTTATTTAGAATTACAGGCTCAATAATAAATAAATTCACAATAAATGAAGAATATTTGGCAATAGTTGAAAATCTTATAGATATTTATAAAACTTTTAGTTTATAATATAATAAAAAAGATGATGATTTTATTATCCCACCTTCATTAGCAAGTTTTGTCTCAGTGCTTTTAGGATGCTAATATCTTTAATATCTATCTGTTATAATGGAGTCCATCAGTTTAACTGTCAGGAAACAGCGTCTCCAGATTACAGTATATATTGTTCTGTTGGTAATTATCTCTCTGTATTACCTCCACTCATCTTTTCTCCACTAAACTATATTAGTTTGTCATTGTGAAATAGATTTTTCTCTCCATTATCTCACCTGTCATCCCTCCACAGGTACCTCAGGGTCCAGGGAGAGTTGTTTTAATTCAAAGTCTCTGGAGCCTCGATGTTGCTCCGCACCACAATGTACCTCCCTGTCTCAGCTTCTCATTGTTATCTCGTCTCATTCCTCCAGACTAAAAGAAAGCGCCAAACGGGACTCAGAGAAAGTCAAGAGCCTCGGCGTCGACCTCCAGAGGAAAGAGGACGACACCTCAGACCTCCGAGAGAAACTGGCCGACTACAAGAAGCAGATCCAGCAGGTCCAGAAGGAGGTACACACTCCATTTACCTGCAACATGAAATGATTCAATGATTCAAACTGTTGCAGTCCCTCACTCTTTTTAAAGGTCTCTCTCTCTCTTTATTTATTTATTTATTTATTTAGCTTGAAATGCCACATCACCGGATACTTTTACTTAAGTTTTTATCCAAGTGCCATTAGAGAAATAGTACATGCACCTATTCTACTTTTATACCTCTGTTTTTATACTATTTAATGTTAGTTTTTATTCATTTATAAAGACTGTCGTGTGTCTGCTTGTCTGTAGTTGTGCTGACTGAACGACTGTGTTGCTGTTTTTTCCCTGCAGATTTCGGCCATGAGAGAAGAAGAGAAGCTTTTGAAGCAGAAACTGTCTGACGTGGAGAAAACCAAGAAGCAGCTTCAGTCTGAGGTCGCCGGCAGAGACAGAACCATCCAGCAGCTCAAACTGGTGACGTCATCCGTCTTTTGCATCTTCTTGTTGTGTGATTGATTTCCCGCCGGCTGCCTTCATGCTGGTGCGTCTACGTCCCATTTGCACGATGTTTTACTCTCCTCCTCTTTCCCGCTCTTTAGGAACAATCGTCCGAGGCCAAGTCCGACCAGACGCTGCAGCTCTACCAGAAGTCCTGTAAAGGTAAAACACTTGTGACTTTCAGTCCCTCCAGAAAGCCGTGATGTCTCGATCGCAATAATTAACGGAAATTCCACCAATCCCCGTCAATTCTATGCGACTTTGCGTTTTTGTCCAATCACCGCAACTTTTACGCAAATGTGACCAATCATCAAAGTTTCCTGCTAGTTGAACCAATCACACCAGTCCCTGATCAAAACCTTGATGATGTCACCAAACTCACTTCCTTGTTTCTGGCGTTGAAGCACGTTGTGAAGCTGCAGACGTGTGACATGAACGTCTCACACTCACCAACACACATCACTGTTAAAGACGTGTGACGCTAGTTCCTCGATGTTTCAAGCGAAAGCAGGGTTTAATAGTTTCACCTTATAAATGGATAAATTGATGAGGTGATTCTAAAGATCAGCTCTACCTGTGATTAACACAGAGCTGTGAAGACTGGGTCACCACCTGCACCGACCTGGATTCATTCTCACTGCTACAAGTTGCTGCGAAATCAGATGTTTTATGCAGCTAATTTGTGTCATGATCTCTCCATGTGTTGCGTTTCTCTAATTAATTATTTGGTTTAAACTACTTTAAGGAAAAAAATAATAATTTCCAGGGTTGAAAATAAAAACTGTCCTCTACCCAAACTGAAAGTCCTGAGTGTCTTTCAGCTGAAAAGTCCTTGAGTAAAACAGTGAATGTGCTCGGCAGCTGACCTCTGACCTGTTTATGGAAAGGAGAAAACTTCCCTCTGGGATCAACATGTTACAGTAGATTTATATCTGTGTGGGGGCAGGGGTGGCGCTCTGCATGTAAACCTCTACCTGCTCTGTGTGTGTGTGTGTGTGTGTGTGTGTGTGTGTGTGTTGACTCGTAGACCTGGAGGCCAAGGAGCGCGTGATCGAGGACATGCGTTTGGCTCTGACGGAGCAGGAGGAGACGCAGGAGGAGATGGAGCATGTCCTGGAGGAGAAACTCGACCTCGTCCAGGAACTCTCCGGTGGTGAGATCTGAAAACTCGGAGGAAGAACGTGGATTTAATCGTTTTTGATTTTGGGGTTCGGTCCATGCGCAGCTTAGTCTAATCCTCTTATCCCTGCGAACCGCAGAGAAACAACCGTGTTCACGAGAGGCAACAAAACATTTTAATTGGATGTCAGAGTCGGGTCATTCAGTCGACCTGTTGTTATCCAGAAACACTTGGTGTGTAACGATGCAAACATGACAGGACACAATAGGACACCTCAAGATAACTTAACTTAACCAGACCTTTATTTCACTGATAAGAAAAGCAGAAAAACACTGAGAGGATAAAGAAACACAGGCTCACAGCACTTCTTTCCCAAACACAAGGTTCATCTGTAAACAACAACATTTACCGTATGAATACAGTTAGTCTGTATTTTTGTTCAAATGAAAACGTGTTTTCAGTGTCTGTTCTCCCGTGTGAACATTTCAGAAGTGGAGAAATTGAAGGGGATGTTGTTACAGCAGGACCGTGGAAACAACACGCACCGTCCACTCGACAGCCAATCAGACGACCTCAAGCTGGCCAAACAGGAAGCCGCCCGAGCCCAGGAAAGCTTGAAGGTAACGATAGGGACTGTTTCCAGACGTCGTGTTAGATGTAGGACCAGGACCGGTTTCACTCCGACAGAATTATTGACGATTAATAGATAATTAGTGTGTATTGTATCGTGTACAGCTGTGTACAGACAAACACCAGGCCGAACGCAAAAAGTGGCTGGAGGAGAAGCTGTCCCTGATTGGTCAGGCTAAAGAGGCCGAGGACAAGAGGAACCAGGACATGAGGAAGTTTGCAGACGACAGAGAACGCTACAACCGGCAGCAGAGCCAGCTGGTAAGACGAGGACGATGAGACGCTGAACGTTAGCTGGAGCATGTTATCATCCGTCTCAAAGCACCTGCAGCTAAATAAAAAGTTCAGATTAGATCAATGAAAGTTTTTATTCCTCCGCCCGGCGACAGTTGGAGGCAGACATTTTGTTTTTAGCTCGTCCGTCTGTCTCATTCTCATGGACGCGATATCTCAGTAACGCCTTGATGGAACTTCTTTAATTTTGGCACAAACATTCACTAGGACTCAAGGATGAACTGATAAGATTTTTGTGGCTAAAGGTCAAAGGTCAAGGTCACGGTGACCTCAGAAAACACCTTTTTTCCATTACTCGTGACTATGATATTCACAGAGCAGTTAATATTTTCTCTGCCTCTGGATAAACAGGGACGTAACCTGGAACTAGTGTGAGTGGCGGAGGGATACGACCACGAGGAATGGAGGAGAAATTATCCAACATTTATTTTTATGTTTTGATGATGAGTGCAGCCTCACTGGTCTCCTATAGAGGATGTTCTTGTTTTTCAGTCACTTTTACTGCATCTTTCTCTCACTGACACATACACACTGTACAAAACTAGTATTCCCCTCCTGCAAACATGTTTCACCTGCATCTCCCTCTTTGTCAGGAGTCCCTGTCGTCCCAGCTGTCCGAGAAGGACGAGACCATGGAGAAGTGGAGGAAGGAGAGAGACACCCTGGTCGCAGCCTTGGAGGTCCAGCTCCAGAAACTTCTCTCCAGCCAAGCGGAGAAAGACAAACTCATCCTGGAGCTTCGGCAGAACAACACGAAGCCGCCACAAGAGGTCAGTGTCACAAAGAAGATACAGGCGGCGAGGTGGAAGAGGACGGTAAGAGAAGGGAGTTTAAGACACAAGTGACTGATTCAGAAAATCAATGCACAGGAACATATGTTCTTTGCAGTATTAGTGTCTCAGATAGTCAGTTCTTTGTCAAGTCCTCAGGCTTTTAATGGATTATTGGAGTAAATGCTCCTCATTATGAAACATCCGGGTGTGTTTCACCTCTCTGCACACTCCAGCTACTGATGTCAGAGCAGTCGCTTCCCGTCATTTGTCGAGGCGAAACACCTGCTGTGACATTATTGATCTGAGGTTTAGAGGGAGGTGAGACTCCACTGAAAGTTTGAACCTGCAGAGAGCGACGTGTCAACGGTTTTCTGCTCCATTTCCTTCAGGGCTGAGTCACCGGTTAGATGGGATTTACTGGGAGAGCAGAACCCAGGGAAATAGACAAAGATCAATAAGAATTCCTTCATGGTTTCTGTAATGTTACAGAGCAGAGCTCCTGGTTTCAGTTCTCTCAGTTCTCTGACCGAGCTCTGCTTCGTCTCGTCTTTCCTTCTCTGGTACATTGCAGGAGGATTTGTAGGTGAATCACCATCATTAACGTGGAGCCACGTCTCTGCTCCACATTATGTCACATATCAGTATTTTTGCACTTTGGTCTGTCACATGTCATCCTCACTGAGCGTTTGTGTGGTTTTTAAAATGACATAATTCCTGTCATTGTGAGCAGACGGCGTCGTCAGATAACTACAGAACAGACAGTGTGAAGGGCAGCGCTGCAGTGACTCACCAAACCAAACTGATGCCGGGCTAGGCGTCTGATACGGCTCTATTGATTTACAAACTCGTATCAGGGACAAAATTTTGGAGAGATTGCAGATAATTTTGTGTATCAGAGAAGCCACAGCAGGGCGACATCCAAACTGCAGACTAATCATACAAGGATTACTACACTCATTGTTTTAAATCATCGATTCTTGTTTTATTATTATACACAAATAAAATTTAAATGAGGTGGTTGTCATGGTTTTTAAAATTCAACCTAAATACGAAGGATATTTTAGACAGAGCTGAGTTAAACTGTGTCGACATAAACAGTATGTGTTGGATTACATTATGTAGAGAGTTGTTTCTTTTATTGTTTCTGTGGGAGAGCAGGATGTTAGAAACACGTTTTCTTCTTCTTCTGTGTTTTATTTGAAGTGTTGATCCATCAGAAGATATAAAAACCATCTCAGTGTAGTTTTACATCTCCTCTCTCAGGCTTCTCTCTGCAGCTCTAGTAACAACAGGTCTGTGAGCCAATCAGAAGAGAGGAGGCTCTGAGCCTCTCTTCTGATTGGCTGACTGTTTTCTGAGTGATCCAATAAAAATAAAGCAGATTTCAGGTAAAAACACTCAGAGAAACCAAATCCTGCAAGGTTTGGATGGTGGGTCCAGGTGGGCGGGGCTTGGTGACTGCTTTGTTGTGACATCACAAAGTTCCAGAAGTCCTGACGGCTGGTTTTAAGGCTCAGTTTCTGAATACAGGCTGTGTGCATTTCTCTGTGGACTGAGGCTTTGATACTTTCACAGTATTAATATAGAAGCTAGAGCTGATCTATAATCACACTACACATGGACACAGACCTTTATATGATATGGAGCTTTAATATAATCTACTTCTTAAGTAAAAATTAGTATTTTGTCAATAGCAACAGGTATTGATAAACTATCAAAGATCAAAGTTGGTGCTGAATACACTGTGAGATTCTCAGTCTTTGTGCAGATTTAATGAATGGTTTGTCAGTTTTGTTATGAAAACCAAAAGATGTGTGCAGGACTGTTTTATCGGCTGCAATGAGATATAACAAGACAATTGTATCATCGCAGCATCTCAGGCAGGTGAAAACATTCATTAACCCTCCTCAGATGAAGATGGGAAACCCTTCATAGTCTGATGGTAACTGCAGTGGATCTGTTGTTTTGTTCATACATTCCTGTCCAGTCATTTAAACATGCATCACTCCTTGCCAACACCACATGTAGCTCCAGGACGATGCTGGTATCTGTCAAATCTAATGCATTTCATGTTTACAGACAGAGATGAGGGGGAAGGACCACGGTCGTGGTGCACTGGAAAAAAAATTAAATAATGTGTTGCACACACAGTTTAATCTTCCCACAGGTTTCCATTGATTGTTTTGTCTCGTAGTCGTTTACTTGCCTGGAGATTTCATTTGTGTCGACGCTCGTTCGAAATGTTCCGGAGATTTGTTATTTTCTTTCTTTCTTTCTTTGAGCCGGAGATTTGATTTATTTCCCTGTGTTTGTATTTTCATTATGCATTAGCAAGTGTTACGGGATAACTGGTGCTTTGTGTTTACGTCTGTGATATTCACAGAAAAGATGCAAATGACAATCGATGTTTGAAGCCATTTGTTTTTCCTCACTCTCGGTTTCCTGTAAACCTTCAATTACACATGTTTTAGTCTCATTTTATTTTTGCATTAATGGTTTGAAACAATAGATGGGTGTGGAGAAAATGTGAAAAAAGTGTCCATGAACTTCCTGTTACAGTGTGCTGATGGCGGTGATGGCGTGGCGGAGCTGCAGGCTGCTCTGCGTGAGAAAGAGGCCGACATCCAGAGACTGAAGGAAGCGCTGAAGGCCTCCACATCCAGACAGGTGGACTCAGTCACTCAGGTCGGTGTTAGAGGGAAACTCCACAGATAAGATCTTTGTAGTGTCAAATGACCACCTCTGATTGATTGATTGATTGATTGAAAGGTGGACGTTTAAAGGTTTTTGGTTTCATCCTTCATGAGAGAGAACAGCAGCAGTGGTCGTCTTGGATTCGTGTCTCTAAGAATAGATTCAATTACTGATGTTTTCATCGAGGATCAAACCTGCAGGTTTAAATAAATCAGAATGCTTCTAATTTCTTTTCTATTTTAACCCTTCAGCTTAAATTCCTGCGTCTTTATGAAAACTGAGTGAGCTTCTCGAATCTCCTCTGCATCATAATGACTTTCTGTGTCGTCCATCGAAACGGTCACATGTTCCAAACGCTGTCAAAATGGTATTTTTAGTTTTATTTGAAGTTTCATACTTCAGCTCTAAGTCTAAGAATACGCAGCTTTGTAGTCACTGTTTTCTCCCTGCAGCTCTCCGGCGGCAGCGCCGTCGTTTTTCTCTCCTTTTTATATTTAAATGTTTTATTACTGGTGTTTGTTTTTCATGTGTGTTCAGGTCAGGAGTGACGGGTCAGAGCGCACAGGGGGGAGATAAGAGCGCGGGGAGGGAGGTGTTTGTTTTTGGTTGTTAGCTCAGGGTTTTACCTCCAATCGTCTGTTTCCATTTCTTTCTTTTTTTAGATCATTTTTGAGGTTTATTTCATTACAAAGTGAGAATGTGAATATAATAGAGGAATGGAAATCATGGATTAGACTCAAATCACAGAATTGGACATCAGTGATACGGTAAATGTCCTTCCCTGCCGGGGCTTCACCCTTTTATTTTATTTATTCAAAGATTTCCTCAGGTGTTCAGCATCTTCAAGGTGAGAAAAAACACAGAGACAGCAGACCACGGGAACTTTGATCTTTTTCTTTGACTTGAGCACATCTCAACAACAACAAAGATGACTCTTCTTTTGCTGCTTTAACTTTTAAACGTATAAGATTAGGGCTCAAAATTTTATCAAAATCACAATATCAAAATTACAGGAGCTGCAATTCTTGGATAAAGGTCAAATGTGTCTCAACAGACCATAAATGAAGCGTTGTGCTGCTACAGAGAGCATATCGTTCCATCAGGCAGATTGATGCAAGATGAAAGACCATTTAAATGATGCATAATAATATCCATAAAACATGTTGGTAAAGTTACTCGTCATCATGATTTATATTATTTATTTCTATCACTTCCTACGACAGACGAGAAGCAGCCGGAGCCCTGCTACACCGGGAGAGAAACCCCAGAGTGAAACCCTCAGCAGGAAGTCTGGAGGAAGGATGGACACCAGAGCGTCGGTCAGCAGCCAGGTAAGTTCATGACATCTAACGAATACGGAGAAGAGAGGTGTGCAGTACACGTCATGAGTCCACACAAAGAGTTGTTTTATTTGTCAGTCACAACAGGTATGAACATTATTCCCTTTAGATGTAGTTGGACGTAAGTGAAGTGGTCCTTAGTAACAAGTAAATCACCTGGTTTGCTTTAGTTTCTTCTTCTGCAGACAAACTCAATTATACAATAAAGGCTGCAAGTCTTGGATTTTATTCTGCAACATCCTAGTTTTTCATTTTTTCCACTCACCTGAACAAGACGCACAGGTACAGAAGCACATTAGAGGTTGTGAGAGATGAGTGTGCAGTTGCCATCTTGCTCAGCAACAGTTACACAGGTGTGGATACTTCTGTTGTCGTGGCGACTGACCTCCTGACCTTGTAGCAAACAGACAGACCGGTCGGTATCGTCACACCTAGACAGACTTCTCACCCGAGTGACCAGGAAGTGACCCTTAACCTCAAACTCCCGTCTGGTCGCAGCAGGGCTCAGCTGGCTGTCCGTCAGTCCTCGACTCCTCTGAGATCTCCACGGAAAACGGGAGGACGAGCCGCTTCCCCCGGCCGGAGCTGGAGATCTCCTTCAGCCCTCTGCAGCCCAACCGCATGGCGCTGCGGCGGCAGGGAGAGGAGAGCGCCGTCACTGTCAAAATCACCCGCTCGGCGCGCAAGAGGAAGAGCGGAGAGATGGAGAAGGTAAGAACCAATCAGACAAAGGCAGCTTGTCCACACACTCACCAGGTGTTGAAACAGATTTCATTGAAAATAATTAATTAGCAAATTCATCAGTTTTGATTCGATCCTTCTTTTAGTGGACTTTTGTTGTACACACAGGCACACACACACACACACACACACACACACACACATATACATATATAAAGCTGCATGTTAAAACTTCCTGTGTACAACATGTTCGCCTCTAGCTTTTCTAAAAATAAATCCTCCATACATCAGTAAAGAAACAGCGGTGCAACGTGAGCCTCAGAGAAGAGCTCACACATGTCGGGGGGGCAGCACTGCTGGAGCAGGATTGTTGTTATGGCGTCTGTAAATCTCTCACTCGTACATCAGTATGAACCAAACTCGTGATGTTTGAAGGGCAGGTAGTGCAGTGGGATTGTCACACACCAGGAGGAGACTCGTGTCATGTACGTTTGTTTTCATATTCAGTGGTTGGGTTCAGAATTGAGGTCACGATTTTCTCCCATGATACTTAGGGGCACGTCTGTTTCTAACAGAAGGGCGCACTGGTTTTGTTTTCGCAGGCGGTTTCCTGGCCTTGTTGTAGTAATCCCCGCTCTAGGTTTTTCTTGCAAAGTAACGAAGGAGCTTTTTGACCGTCATCGTGATCATCGTCGTGTTCGCCTCTGGTCTCAGACTGTCGACTGTGTTTTTCATGGTGCAGGTGTTTTTGTCGATTTCTGTCCTTCACCATCTCTGGGTTCCAGGAGATTAAGGACAGATACAGAAACCCGGCATCAAACGGACCCTGCGATACGTATCCATAAGCTCCGGCGTCATGTTGTGAGAAAATAAACAATGTTTTTCTTCTTACTAAATGACAAAAAGTACCGGTGAGAGAACCGTTAAAGTACCGGGTCGATAAGTTGTCGGGTGTCATTAGTTGATGCAGCTTGAGTTTTGATGCAGTGGATCTCCTCACTGATACAAACATGGCAGAACTGTTGTCTGCCATGTGATCACACAGAACCGAACTGGAAAAAAAAAACATTTGTGTTTCTGGTCAGTTTTTCCTCGTTAAACGGCAGAGAAACATTTCAGTATTTATCTTTTAATTTGTCACAAATCTCAACGACCTCCAGTGTAAGAGCCAGAAGATAAACAAAGGCTGTGTGTGATTAGTATAAGTAACAGGGTCAACAAGCCGGTCCCATCTGCGCCTCTTAGAAACGGATCAGAGTTTCCGCCCGTGAGCTCGTTCATACGTCTGACGTGCTCTGAAACCAAAGTCTCGTCACGGAGTCGACACCAGACTCAGAGACTCGAGTAGAAAAGTGAAGCTGAGCTGGAGGGTGAAAAGGTCAAAGGTCTCTCTGGAATTCGGAGCTGCACTTCTGTTTGTTTGTTTGTTTCGACTAATGCAAGAGAAGAAGAAGAAGTGGGCTGATGCCTCTGTTACATTTGGCTCTTGAAGGTGCGACACGTGTGAATGCTGATTCCAACAAGCATGTTCACACACACACAGTGAATGGAAAGAAGGAACACACGTGCGTTATTGTAGAACACACACTCCGGTTAATTAGCACTTAAAGACGAATGCAGTTGTAACTTAATTATACTGCATACATTAATTATTGTTTTGTGCGTATCTGCCCGGCCTGCAGAGGTTAAAACACTCTTCAAATATAAAAATAAAAACAATGCACGTCATTCCCATAATCTAATCTTCACGCCTTCATGTCTGCAACAACATCTGTTAATAATTGGTAAAAATATACAGCACAATTAAAACTTGGAGAAGAAAAATTAACATAAAGACTATTGAAGTCGTTCATCTTGTCGTAGTCAGCTAATTAAATTCAACAAAATGAAGCAGTCATTGACAAAACACCTTAACTTAAGATTTCCTGTCTGAGTTTTTCAACACAAAACAAGGTCTTCTCCCTGTGGTTAGTACTTCAGTCGTAAACTTAACGAATCAGTTGAGACCTTAACCATCAAAGTAAGGGAAACAAACTAGAGGAAGCTCTGACTCTGTCTCAACCGCAACACGACTGAGTTCATGGTGATCAATGAAGAAAACCAACTCGTCCTAAAAAGATTGTTCAAAGACCTTAGAGACATTAGAGACACCTTCAACGACGAGGAATTGATTTTACATCTCAGATTAAACCAACGGTCGGTCGTGATTTGTCCGATCGTCTACTCTCCGCAGCTTAATGATTCCTCACACGTGCTAATGGCAGCAAATCAACAAATCAATCTCCATGGAAACAGACCCTTTTTTAAGGGATTCTGTGTGACACCTTTAACTGACTCCCTGAGCTAAGGAGAAGTTAAGCCTTAAGGTGTTTGTGCAAACGGCCTCAGAACATTTCAGGGTTTTGTTAAATCATTTCATAAAAATAATAATGATTCATTCATTAAATTACCATAAATAGAATATTATATGTGATCTCCATGAAATCACAAACCTTACATGATCTATTTTCACTCCTGAATATTTACCAACCTCAACAGGTAGAGGAAGAAACAATAATAAACAAGATATAAGATGAATTCACGGCAGTATTTGTGCTTAATGTGCATAAACAGCATGTCCTTAATTTAGATTTTGACTGTATAGCTTCAAGCTTTTGTTGTTCAACCTTGTGTAAACACCATAACAGCATCCCCATGCATGTCCCCAGCACATATGGGCGAGAGAAGACAATCTCATTAATCATAAATACCTCTTACAAGGAGAAACACACACACTCCCACTTTATTAATGGCACACACACACACACACACACACACACACACACACACACACACACACACACACACACACACACACACACCCCAGAGAGCACATTAAACAGAGCCCCCGCTCAGAGAAACACAAGGTCGGGTTCAGTGCAACTGTCACATCACTGCACCGCTGCAAAGGTTAACACCGGTTACAGCTTCTCTTTTTCCCTCTCTGGCAAACACAGCTTGAAAACACGTCACGTTCTACGGTTTGAACAAATGCCAAAAATAAAACTAATTAGTGCTGACAGATGTAAAGTACAAGCAACAATCATTTTACACTTTAAATTCCCAAATATGAAAAACAACCAATCAAGCAGCAGGTGAGGCAGATAAAGAACTTTCATTTTGTTCTTTATATTCTTGATATTGTAAATAATCGGTAAAGTTTCCATCTCCAAATATCTTAATATATTTATAAAGCGTTCCCGCTGACACAGTCACTTCGTCATTATTGTAATGACACGGTTTTGGCGTCTTGTTGCTCGCCTTGTAAACACTGAATCTCCCTTGTTTCCACATAATCCCAAGTGGCGTGTTTTTTGGGAGGCGCTGATGTCCTCTGAGTGCTGAGGCATAAAAACACCTTATGCCAGTAATTCCCACTTCCCCGTGCTCAGTGTTTTAAGTTCACAGCTGATAAGAGGGAAGTAGGCAATTTTGTGCACGGCGTGTCATAATAACGAAATGATGATGTAACGATAACATCAGAAGGACGGTGACTTGCTTGATATGAAAGTCACGGTTGCGACTTGATAAACGCTGCAATCTGCAGAACAGGGCTCTTCATTTCATGTGCCATAAATTAAGGTGTTTTTTTTTCTGAAGCAGCATCAAAAGCATCTTTCAAAACACATCAGCAGCCTTTTCTGTAGTAACAGTGCTACATGTGCTCTGTCACTGCAGCACTAATACTCATTCTTTGTTTTCTTTTCATGCATTTCTGGGAAAATAAATCATTCTGAACAAGCCGCAATGAAACAAAGTCACAATATAATTGATAATTATAATAATAATAATAATAATAGTCATAATTAATCAGTCCCTCCAGGATTTACCAGCTTTTTTTTGGGGGGGTGGGGGTGGGGGTGTTTTGGCCTATTGGATTTCGCGGCAGCTTTTCCTAAAAATTGCGATCAAAGTTGCCATGTTCTTATGTGTTCTTAGATGGTATTTTTGCAATGAAACTGCGGGAGAAAAATCTTCATTAAAAATAATAATAATAATAAATGTAGATAAATATCAATCTATGATGAGACTGTAGTTATTTAGTTTCATCTGGAGAATAAAAGCAGCTCTACACCTGTGGTTGTTCCACAGTGTTGCAGCGCTACAGAACATTAACTCTGCTTTGGTGCAGAACATCTGGGAATTGCTTGACACTGTGTTTAACAGTGATGTTTGTTGGTGAATGTGAGACTTTCATGTGGCAGAACTCACAGGGATTGTTTTAATTTGCGTTAATTATTGCGATCGCTGAACAGTGTAATGAACATGTAAAATCCCAACAAGGGACAGGAGCTGAAAATTAGCAATAGCTTTAAACTGTCTGTGCAACACGTCATGCTTTGTATTGGAACTAAGTCAAATTGCATCGTCCCTATTAAATAAATAAACTAAACAACCCATATTGTAGATAAGCATGCAAAATATATATTTGGAAATATATATTTTTTCAAGTATTAAGAATTTACATTTACTAATGTGGCAGACACTTTTATCCAAAGCAATTTACAAGAATTAAATATTCTGACAATGATTTCAACCATAAGTAGTCGTTTCTAATTAAACTGTCATTTGCCATTTAAACATCCCACTGCACCATGTCACGCTGAATACAGCTGTATCTACCCACTTTCTGTCTTTTAATCCAATGTTTTCATAATATTCACCTTGAATCCAAGAGTTTAAATTAACCAACAACATTTTACATTCAAATTGACCCATCGTGGAGTTATGTACGTACTTATATCTTGTTTTGTTGAGAGTGTATAAACATATAAACTCATTACTATACGAGCATATTCCCGTTGTCACATGCAGTTTTGTCGTGTTGCTCAATAACAGTATTCGCTCCCACCTTTTTTGGGGTTGTTGATGGTGCAGGTTGGCAGATCTGCGTCAGTCTGACAGCTCTGCTCAGACACTTGTCGCTCGTACTTTGACAGCAAATTTCACACCTTCAGTCACAACAACAAGCTTCCCTGAATAACTGACGC